AGTTAGACGGTGAATTCACGCACTTTTCACAGTATTTTAATTGTGAATCCACCCTATTTTGGCGGTATATTCACGGTGAATTCACCGTGAACTCAAGGCCGCAAAAGTAGGTATATCCTATAGGTTTAACACAATCGACTATAGCTAGCCATTATTCGTTACTGAGCAGATGAGGATGGTGATGGGGACTTCAAACAATTAATGTTCAGCTATGCCATTACAGACGCACACTTCCAACTAAATATTGCAACCCAACGCTATTTATAGTTAGCTCGCTTGCGTAAGCAGCCGTGAGATGTATTGCTTAAACCGCTTAACACACTTACAATTTGCGGTGTTTTCACAGTCAATTTACGGTGTTTTCACAATAAACTCACAGCCCTTTTAGGGTGAATTCACGGTGATTTCACGATAAATTTACGGTACTTTCACAGAGAATTTGCGGTGATTTTGCAAACTTGAGTTCACCGTAAATTTACCGTGAAATCACCGTAAATTTATCGCAAAAACAGCGTGAGTTCACCGTTTAATTACCGTCTACAAATGTCACAAATAGACGGTATATTCACTGCACATAAACGGCGTATTCACGGTGAATTCACGCAAACGGTGAATTCACCGTAAACTCAAGGCCGCAAGGGTATAGGTATACCTATTCATGCAAGTTATTTATTATATATTTTTTTTAATAAATAGCCTAAACATTATTTAGCTGCAAGCACGAAATTAAATTAAAGTAACATGCATTTATGACTGCAAAAAGAACAAGATTGAATGCAAAAATATAACCTAATTTTTTAAGCGTACCAAATATAACAAAATCTTAATCGAGTAGGTAGTCAAATACAAAATAATATTTAAAATTCTACTTACCCCAGTATAACAAAAACCAAACCCCTTAAAATAATACTAATGCACATTCTGTATTGCAGAATAATCTCAAATTTCTTAAAAAAAAAAAACGTTACATATGACATTATGACGGCACTACCAGAGATAAAAAAGGGCACTACCTCTTGTAATATGTAATATCTCTATAAAGTAGGGCACCACAATGATATTTTACCAACTTGCCCATATCGAGGATTTATTCCGAATATTGCCGAACTGTTAAACTTTAGCTGCTAAAGCATTATAATTATGGCGATAAATTTGAATATATAGTGCCATTTTAGTAGTGGTTATGTTAACTTAACACAAAGATGCCGAGTACAAAAAGTACTCCAGTACATTAAATGTACTCGAGTTCAACAAAAGTACTCGAGTACATCAAATGTACTCGAGTACAAAAAATGTACTCAAGTACAACCAATGTACTCGTGTCCATTTTTACATTTTAAATTAAATAAGTACAAGTACAAAAACTTTTTTTGAAATGTACTCTGGACTGACTACCGAGTACATAAAAAGTACTTGTGTATACAATTTAATAAATTAATTAATTAATTAAAATTCTATTTGTGACATTATTTCCATTTTGACATCCAATATCTTTTATTAAAAAACACAAGATCTTTAATAAGTTTTACAATTTCGCCTTAGTGGGTAAAGTTTGCAAAATAGCAAAATATCGTTAAATTAAAATTACCATGGTCCCACAATCTTTCGTTGTCTGGGCAGCTGTTATATCAACTTATTTTTCTTTTTTTTTTGATAATGACACTCTGAAATTTGATACATTTGTTGAGTTTGATATTTTTCAATGTTTTATAAAATCCTGGCCCACAGTGGGCCGTAGGAAAAAAAATATAGGAACTTGTCATATTATTTGTATGTGTTCTATTTGAATCCGGGAGATTGCCTACATATTCTGTAACACCCTGTATATATATATATATTTCATATATTTTGAAAATAATAGAATTCAGTTAATCCCGGCGCATTCGCCATTTTTTAAGAATTAAAGTATTAAATAAACTTAATACTATAATAGTAACAATAACACTATGATAGTTCGAATGACAGTTCAAATTATTAAAATTGACTACGCCTCTACATTACCTAATTTTGGGCCACTCGTTTTGCTCCATTACGTCTAGGATTCAAATTGCGTAATAAAATGTTCTGCCAAATTATCTTAAAATGTTTTTTCGTTACTATTTTGATTACTTATTAAATTATTTTGCCTTAAATCTATTTTGGATGTACGTCCCTGTATATTTTTGACGTATTTTGTCAAAAATATACAGGGACTCTATACAAAGTCAATATAAATTTAAAATATAAATATTTTCTATTTGACATATACCTATAGGTATATGTCAAATGGAAAATATTTATATTTTAAATTTGTTCCATTGTAGCAGTAGTAGTATTTTATTAATTTAAAAATTTTGTGCCGATATTTTAATTACTAAATTGAAAAGGCACCAAAGTAAACGGATTTCGGTATAAACATTACCTTCGACAATTATTTGATAATTTTTCACATCATGCCTAAAGTACCCAAAACTTTATCTTAAATTTATTAAATCTTCGCTTTTTAAAGAAATAACAGTTAATGTTATTAAAAATACATTTTCTTAATTTTTATACAGATAAATTTGCCGGACAGTCACCTACTAAATCTGATGAACATGGAGACCGATTTCACCAAGTATCAGTTTCTGTAAATCTAGAGCATTGGTATAGCAAGTAGCATTGCTAGGAGACGTTTGCTAAAATTTGCAACAAACGACGCGATGATAAGGATTAGGCACATTTAATTTGATATTTGATACGATTTAATAAATTTAGGATTAAAAAATAGTAAAAAAATTAAATTTTCATGAAGTCGGATTGCCCTTAAAGAAAAATTATGCATTGAATTTTGTAAGCTTAATGTAAATAAAAAATATCAATAAAAGTCGATTGTAATACCACTAGAGGTTCAATTTAGCCGGATATTTTTAACTTTTCACGAAAATTTGGGGGTATTAATTTGGCAATAAAAGTTTGAGTTAAGAGTCTAAAAAATGTCCTGCTCAATTGAACCTCGAGGTGCTATTTGTTGAGAAAATTCCACTAGTAAATAAATTAAGTCATTTTTGTTTTACTTTGACATTTCTCTCTCAATAATTAATATTAAGTTTATTAGGGTGTAACATTACAAATAAATTAATTAAATATATTGTTTTTGAGTAGATCGGGGGACTCGGGAGGGCACTACCCCGATGCCCTCCCTGTAGCAGCCGCCAATGGTAACGGATGTATTATACATCCGATGCTACTCAAAAACATTATATTTAATTAATTTATTTGTAATGTTACACCCTAACAAACTTTTTAAATGTAATTCTCAATATTAACTTTAGGACAGTTAATACAAGTAAACTTTTTTAGGATGGATATTTTCAAGCCGGTCGGATTTAAATCTGCACTGTTAGTCCGAGGTATCAATGAAGGCGGGGGTGTGAGGCGTCCGGGCGGAATATATCTGTTTCAGTAGGCGTCAGCCATCATAATCGTGCGAAATAGTAAGATGCCCGACAGCGCGTTGCCGATGTATTCAGTTTAATTTGTTTTGAGAAAGGTCAGTTAGACAAAAATCTCGCCGGTGGCCGTGTCGTGGTGCGTGTTATTGTTTTCAGTTATTTTTAAAATGGAGATAAATACCGTTGATTATATAATAACTTTTGTATATTTAAATAAGTTAACATATTGAATGTGGGAATAGTATATTCTGTAACAAGTTTGGAATACGGCATATTCCGCTCGAGTGAAAAGTTTGTCACACGAGCCGAAGGCGAGTTTGACGGTTTCACGAGAGGAGAATATGCAATTCCAAACGTGTTTCAGACTATACTTTTTCTACGTTTCCAAAAAATACCATAGACAAATAATTTAATTGGAAGAAAGTGAGGTTGGATCGGTCTAAAATTTGTTATCGCGTTTATCAAACTTGATGCATAATATACTATTTTTCTACTTCCATACATTAATTTGTTTATTTAAAATTTCCTACCTGTACTATAGCTATACCTAATGAGATCCATTATGATAAAAACATCTGACAGATCTAATATTTATCAATTTTTACAAGTAATAATTACAAGTATTTTTAAAAGTAGTCGTAGAAAAAATAATATGCAACTCCCATTTAATAAGCTTTTATGCACGATGACATTATAATATGACAATTATAACAAAAATTCTTTGACGTAAACGTCTTTTTATAGCCCGCGGGCGTTATTATGACCCAGCGGGCTATAATGAAACGTCAAAAATTAAAAACAACAATGTTACACCATTTGATATATTCGAAGTAAGTTTTTTCGTATAAAGATTTTGATTTTTCCGGCAGCAGGCCGCAATTTTTCGCCTTTTCAGCTGCTTCCTCAATTTCATTCATCTTTAAACTTTAAAACTGACTGATGTCAGTTGACATTATAATATGACAATTATAACAAAAATTCTTTGACGTAAACGTCTTTAAAAACAATAATATATTAAAAATAATAATATATTAATCGTGCATAAAGTTTTGTATGCATTGCTGGCATAACTGGTTTTTATGGTCCTACGACGCTTTTCTAGCCCTCGCGCTAACGCGCTCGGGCTCGAAATAGCGCCTCGGACCATAAAAACCTTATTATGCCCTTAATACATAAATAACTATTAAGACACTCGCACTCATTATAACATTCGTTTTCGGCTTATGTCATAATTATCATGAATTAATAGTCATCATTAAAAACTGACAGTTTAAATATTTCAAATTTAATTGTGTAACTTATTTTTGACCCAACATATTCTAGAATAGGTACCATAGTTTTAGAAAACAATCACCACTTCAGCTAAAATGAATCCCTATGGGGAGATTTTTAGATCTAATTGTGAAATCAAATCTGGAACTGGAAAGATGGTGGTATTTTCAGTTATCGCTTTGAAGAATGTTTATCTTTAGAATGATGCATTGTTAATTATAATGTTAATAATATATTATTTATAAATCGGTTTAATTACAATAAAATATAGACAATTACATAATAATATTATATGTACATGTTTTTGGTAGTGCTTTATAGCCAACCCACTTTGGGTTGTATTTTCTTTTTGTCACCTACTCTTTGTATGTTTCTTGAAGTCATGGGTGAAGGGGTTCTTGAACTAGGTGAAGATACGTTCAATTTAGAAGATTCTTCATAACTTTCTTCTTTTATGTCATCTAAAACGTTATCTATGGCAGCTATCGTGTTTTCTTCGATATGATTTGTTGATGGTAACTCAATTGTAGGTCTATCTACCATTGTGTTTGATATTTCTTCTTCTATGTTTTCTATTATGTTTGTAGGCAAAAAACTGCATCTGCTTGGCGGTCTTGAAGTATTTATTTCAGGAGATATACTTCTTGCTCTGTCTTCAATTATAGCAACTTGATCTTTGACTGACATTCTATCAAAAGAGTCCGATTTGTCCAAGGGAAAGTTAGTTTCACTACAAAACGATTCAGGTGTTTCACTTTTGGGTATATCTTCGTGTTGAGATACAATTTTTGAAACGTTTGTGGTAGAAAATGTTATTAAATCACTTTGGTCGTTCAGTTTTCTTATAGGGCTAGGGGTCGCCTTTGAAATCCTTATATTGGGGTTAGGTGTTTGAAGAAGTGATTCTGCTGATAGAATATTCTTAAACTTAACTATACCACTTTTATTTTCCTTTATTAAATCTAGTATATTGGATCCAGTTACATCAGGAAGATCACATGGGGTTGATATCCTAGATAATATATGAGATGGGCTTCGAGCGGTTAATTGTTTTGCTTCCTCTATAGCTCTAAGTAGGTTTTGTTGTTTTTTAAATGATTCCCTTGTATGACATGTACCTATTTGGGAGCTAAAAAAGTTTAAATCAACTAAAATTTTACCACAAACAAATAGTCATATTTTACGCTATACAAGCTCCTTTAACGACTTGTTTCCATTTGTTTAAGTTTGATGTTAGTACGGCCATTTTTGCCACTCTTCTAAACCTATAAAGATAATTGTAAAAAATTGTTAAACAAGATATTCTCTCTATACCTTGCAAGTGAATTTTCTCCTGGTGGGGGAGTTTCAAAAGTTAAGGGTGCATCACCATCCTCTGTAACAGGTGCTACTTGAAAATCTTTCATCAATCTACGTTCCCATATCTTCATTTTTTTGCCCAGGACAGCTAGAATAGCAATAGCTGTGTGTTACAACTGTTTCCAAAATGGATAAAAAATACCTTTCTCCTTCATTTCAGCAGAAGATGTGTCCATACCATTTCTATTCAAGACTTCCAGTAGCTCATATCTAAACGAAGATATATCGCCTTTCAATTCATTCACATCATCCTCAGTTACGCAGTTTTCCTCCATTTTTCTGTGCATTGCAGATACGTATCTCCAAACTAACGATCTCATGACTGATGTGTATTTGTAATCTCTTTCGCGTTCAATACTCTTCCTCTGAAAATAAAAAATGTTTTGTAGAAATGAAAAAGTCTTAATATAAACATTGACAAAATACTTTGGAATCCATCCTCCTCATCTTATCCTTCTTCCTTAAACCAAATAGTTTCAATATATTCTTTGGCCTGGGTAATATATTGAACGGTGGTGGTAGGGTAGCACTCTCCTCAAAATAACTCAACCATAACTTGGTCCTAGCAAATTTCCACTCTGTATCTGAATGTTCCTACATAAAATAAACATATAAACATTATCTACCAGGTTTATACACTTACATCTATCATAGCGTAGGAATTCGACATCATCGCGATGAGGAGATTCAGTAAAACAATAACGTTTATAACGCAGTAAGAACCGAACATCAACAACCCCCAGAATCGCGTGTATGTTTTGATTCCCGTTAGCTCGAAACTCGCCAGGTCTATCATACCAAAACTAGCCCAGAATAGGGACTGAGAGGACTCGAAAACACTAAAAAATTACTTTAGTTTGTTATGTTTGATGGTATTGATGATATACTTCGCAAATCGTCTCCATTTCATGCAGGAATCGCCGGCATTTTCAAAATCGGGTTCATCATTTGGTAGATGGTAACATTTTTTTTTCTCTAGATCGGAAAAATACCACAATAACTGGTTTAAACCGCATGCGAAAGCAAAAAGAACTAAGGCATAGATGAAGAAGAATTTGACTATGTCTATCACCATTCTGCCCAGAGAGATTTGTAATGGTCCTAGATGAGGGTTGATTGAGAACAAATGTACCAACTTTAGCGCACTAAAAACATTGGCAGCAGCAAATAACCCCTCTGCTATTAGTTGGCAGTCAAAGGCATTCCACTCCTCACGTCTCATGAAAGCCAAGCTTGGATCGTCCTGTATTTCCGAATTTTGTTCTATATAAGCTGCCACCCTAAGGATGAAAACAAGAACATACAGAAAATTACGTGTAAAGTCTATAAAGTTCCATAGATTTCTTATATATGACTCCATTCCTTCGATCATTATTTCATGAGTTTCTTCCACTATGAATCCTGAAAGGATCAAACAGTTTATTGAAAATATATATTATAAGGATGTTGTGTACGAACCTAAAACATATATGAACACTACGTACTCTAGAATCATAGGCTCATTGCCTCTTTGTTTTTCGTAGTTTTTTTCTGAATTTTCAGGTGAGAAAAACTCTTTAATTTGGTCTTCAGCTCTTTGCGACACCAGGATTAGAATCACTGTAAAAATCAATTAGTCTGAGACTTTTCAGTGTAAATTGAAACTTACAGAGAAAAAACAAATACGATGATGCGTGTATCAAGAACTTCATAAAAGGTTTTCTCATGAGTTTGCCAGTTTGAGTCTCCGGGGCAAAAAGGAATAAAAAAGAGTAAAATGGAAATAATATGGCGACTTTACTTATAATTCCTATTTTTTGGGGTGTCGTTTTTCGACGAAAACCTGGAACACCTTCGTACCACAAAGAAGCTAGAAGTTGTTGTATGTTGGGATGCGCTACGAACTTTTTTTGCTTGAATTGTATGGCCAGCTCAAGTCTAGCTAACTTCATGTGTTCTCCTTCTTCATATGGTGGAGCTTCAGGGTCATGATTTAATATTATTGCTAGTTCTTGTGAGCTTCTGGATTGATGGAGGAGATCCACTGCGAACTGTTGGCATTGCTTTCTTAGCTCCATATATTCCGTCTTACATTCCTTAAAAAAACCATGTTGGTTTCTTTCTCAGGCGGAAATTATACTTACTGGTTCTGCAAAAGCCATATTTCTCAACTCCCATGAAAGCTGAAAAGTCGTCAACAAAGGATCTGTAGACGATAGCGCTATTAGACTAGGACTGGCCAACGCCTTGTACTCGTTTAATCTAGATAAGGAGTGCCGCAAGGAGTCCGCATCCGACTCTCTTATACACTCATCACAACCACACCTGAAAATATCTTATTAAAGATGTTTAAACCTAACAAATGTGTGCATTTATACTTAATATCGTGAGGCATAGGTACTGTAGCTCCTCTATCGAGTAAAATCTTCAATATTTCGTAGTTGTTTCTATGGGCTGCCAATATTAGTGGTGTTATATCAGGAGTAAATATAGCTGTATTAATATCCACAGTTTGCCAGCTCTAAAATTAACAATTTTGGAACCACAGATCATAGCATAATTATGGCAGGGAATAGGTATGGTTTTTTTTACTTACATAAGGTTTGCCTTCCTTGTGAATGAGTTCTTCATGTTCCAATAAAAGTTCTACTGCTTCAACGAATTCAACATTTATTGCATGCAATAAAGCGTCTTTGGTTTGAACTCCCATAACTACTAATAGTTCCAACATTTCCAAATTTTCTTGGTCTATGGAAATAGTTAAAGCCCCTCTACCTAAACTGTCCATGCAATTTATATCGAATGATTTGAATCTGTGAGCTTTTTGAAGCATTCTAGAAGTTGAAAATGTTTTGTAAATTACAGATCTGCAAATTTTATTAATAATACCTTCTAACATTGGCAAGATCGCCTCTTTCTATTGCTAATAAGTACTTTTTCTCCTCCAGTGATAGATTTTTGGGTAAATTCGGCATCGTGGGTCTAATAGGTTTACCCTTAGGCCCTATTTCGACATCCTAAATACACAAACAACATTATTTGATTCTTAAATTTACTACTACTTACAATAGCTTTTTGTGACATTTTTTTTACACAAATATAGATGTAATTACATGTTAAACTTTCGTTGAACAAAACCGAAAAATGATTTTTCACCCGAATATAACCATTTCTAACAGGATTAACTATTTAGGGTAATTAAATTAAATTTGAACCAGTTTAAGGCGTTAAACCACATCTTTTAGTAATTAGGTTTACTTAGAACTTACCTGGGTCTGTAGAGGGTTAAGACGAATTAAGTTCAAGTACACATTAAGTTAGTTAGGTTTTTATGTTTAAAAGTGTTAAATGGGGAATTTTAGTGTATCAAAGTACGGTAGTGGTATTTTTGGTATTTGGGAATGTTTTGATAAAAAATGGTCTTGAGTTTTGCAAATTTGCAAAGAATTTAGAAAATTTGTAGTATATCTACCTAAGCTATGAAATAATACAAAACTTAATAATATTTCTTATGACTGGTTGGTGAAACAAAAAATTTAAAAAATAAAATGTTTTATATATCCCGGCGCATCCGCCTTTTTTGCAAATACATTTTCGAAGCAAAATATGGTTATCTACTCCAATTGCATAATATTGTTTTTTTTTAATAATGATAAACATTATAAATTACCTGCCTAACAACGGAAATAATTAACTCTATATTCAAGTTGTTTAGGCATCATGACAGCCGTATATTCTAAGAATATTCTCTAAATCTACTAATAGATTGAGAATATTCCTAATATTCTTGTAATATTCATTCTATAGGTTACATTTATGGATGATTTATTTCAGTATATCCCAGGCACATGAATAATGTATCTGCTTATTTTATTTATTTTGGTATATGTTTTATGTATACAGGGTGAATCGGAATGATCGCACTAAACTCTAGGACTGCATTCTACACATCAAAATAATAAAAAAAAACAACTGTTCTTATCCGATTCTTATTTGTTTTCAAATTATAGCGAACTTATGGGACACCCGAAACGGTAGAACATGTCTTACTACACTGCCAAAAAAACCAAGATGAAAGAGAGAAAACAGAAAGAAAAACTGGAAGCACCATCATTGAAATGCTAAAAGATATAGGAAACAATTATATAAAAATGAAAAACTTTTTACAGACAGTCCCTGAGCTCTAAAGAAGGTGTTATTGGGTTGCATAGCCATGGGCTAAAACCTTGTACATATTTTAATATATATTAATTGTAAATATGTACTGAAATGAATAAATAAATAAATAATAAGTTATAGCGAAATTTAAAAAAAAAAAAATTTAAAAATAATATATTATCTATTGTTCTAAAGTTTATTCAAATTTAGAGTATGCTAATATGGTTTTTGTTTACTTTTGTAATGGCAATGCCACAGCTGCTGTAGAAGAATATCGGCGACGTTTTCCACGTGAAAGGGCTCCTGACAAAAACGTGTTTATTCGAGTTTTTAACAAACTTTGCGAGACTGGAACTCTTCCAAGTGCTAAAATAACATCTGAAGAAGCTGATCGACAAACTTTAGAAGAAGTGGAAAATATTTTGGATCTAGTGGAAGAAGATGTAACGACCAGCACCAGAAGAATCGTTACTTAATTGGACATTTCACAAAAACGGGTAATACACACACTTCACGAGCAAGGCTTATACCCATACCATTTACAAAGAGTACAGTTTCTACACCCGGAAGATTATGCTAAACGTGTGGAATTTTGTCGGTGGGTAACTAACAATCGTAGAGTTGTATCGCGTATACTTTTTACTGATGAAGCAACATTTACCCGTGACGGCATTAATAATACGCACAACTCTCACGTATGGTCTGACGAAAATCCCCATGCTATAGTCGAAACCAATTTTCACCACAGGTTTTCAGTAAATGTGTGGTGTGCTATGATTGCTGGGTATTTAATTGGCCCCTTTATCATGGAGAATCGCCTCACAGGGGAACACTACCTTAATTTTTTAATAAATCAGTTGCCAGGATTATTATTATTATTAATGTACTATCAGCATGATGGAGCCCCTGCACATTTCACTCGTGAGGTCAAGTAACACTTGGATGAAATGTTTCCAGAGCGTTAATTTGGTCGCGGAGGTCCAATTAGTTGGCCTCCAAGAAGTCCAGATCTAACACCACTAGATTTTTGTTTATGGGGTTGGTTTAAAACAGAAGTTTACAAAGTTAAAGTGAATAATCTAGAGGCACTAATTCAACGAATATTTAATACTGGCGCAGTTCTTAAAGAAAAACAAGAGTTAATAGGACAAGCAACAAGCGCTGTTCGCAGACGTAGCAGAGCATGTTTAGAACTCAATGGGGGTATTTTTGAACACCTTATAAAAAGTCATAACTATTAAACAAATGTTACCGTTTCATTTTATTTATTTTTTAATTACGCTATAACTTCAAAACAAATGAGAATCGAATAAGAACATTTGAGTTTTTTTTAATTATTTTAATGTGTAGAATGCAGTCCTAGAGTTCGGTGCGATCCTTCCGATTCACCCTGTATATTCTTACAATACTAATATTCAATGGTACCATTTTTTATTTAGTATAATTAGTCTAACTGAATCGGTAGGATTAGGAATAGTTCAAGCCCATTTTTTTTTAATTTGTTTATGATTTTTTCTAAATTTATAATTTACAACAAAAAATAGATAAATAAAAAAATGTACTTGTTTACGGTGTACCTATAAGCCCGTGACTTGTACTGTTCTTAATTTCACCGATTCAATTAGAATTTGAAAAAATGTACCAATTGAATATTACTACAATGTTGTAGGAATATAGAAAAAAGCATGCTCATTTCAGTATCTTCCAAAATCACATGCGCTAAACGCGGCTTCACACGAGATCGGCCGATTCGGATACTTCTTTATTTCTGCATCGGCCATTGTTTGTGCGTGTTTCGCCAGTGAAAGTTTGTTTAGATAATTAAAAGTTTGATTAGCATATAATTGCTTTCTATTTGCCAAAAAGTATTGTTGTTATTTGTTATAACTGTTTTTATCATTTGTGGAGACATGCGGCTAAATTTTAAGAATAATAACATAGTTTATTCTTCCATACCCCGGTGGTGTTTTTTAAAAATGATTTTTTTGTTTTAATTATTGTTTTCAGAACTGGCGATGATCCAGAAGATTAGGAGGTCTAGTTTTGATCGGACACTTTTGAAAACTCTACCTTTTGTTAAGGACGATTTTTTTATAACAATGCATTTTATTTTATTTTATATTCCTTTTAATAATTTATTTAGGTTTTTAATCATACATTTTTTATAATATATATATGCTACTTTTTATTCATGATACATACAGGGTGTCCCAGAACTCGCGCCACAGAGAAAAAGGGAACGTACCGAAAGTAATTTGAAACACATATTTAAAAATTCAAATTGTCCAACGCAAAGGATAAGGGATATAAGAATAAAAAATGATAGCCAATCCCAATAGATCACCACAGGGAATTCTTTAAATTGCATTGTTGATAATAAAAAATATGTAAAATATTTGGTCCACTGGAATTCAATTCATTGTAAAACTGCTGTCAATCTTTACTCCTGTCATTAATATTATACCTATTAGGTTATAAATTAAGTTATTATTGACAACAATCTTTACTTTTGTCTTTAATATTGTATTAGGTAATAAATTAAGTTATTATAAATAATGTTGATAATGATGATTATACCGAAATGATAACTATTTATGGGGAGCGTGGGCGCAAAAAAAGCTAAATAAAGTACAACTGGTTTGATTTTTTACTTTAAAACATTGGCGTTCAGGGGTGCGTTCATGACGTTTACTCGATTCACTCGGAGTTAACTCAAAACGTTCATTACAACAGCGGTATCTACACTTTAACTTGACTAAATCGTTCGTGACTACCAGGATATTTAACACCGAGTTTACATTTTTAACCCACCTCTTGTAGGTGCGTTAAAATAACTCCGCACGCGCATTGTAGTATGTTATTGTCAAATTTGAATTTGAATTGTCAAAGTTGAATTTGAATTGTCAAATTTGAATTTGAATTGAGGTTATTTGTGTTTGTGTTTATATAGAAATCGTTGTTGCTATTTGTGATATAGTTGCTAAATTAATTAAATAATGGATAATTATACCATTGTGACTGACCCTGAGGGTAATATCATCTATAACGAAGACGGATTGTTACTGGTTCAAGATAATATGCGTATGTATTTCCCATAATTACTTTTATTTTATAAGTAATAACATAAACATTTTAGTTAAACAACTTCAATGGACAATTAAAGTGAACGCTGAAAGTTTTTTAACTCTATCCATATTAAATATAATAAAATATAATTTAAGTTTACATGTTATTTATGCATAAATTAAATTTAAAATGTCAGAAAATAAGGTTAAGTTGTTTTTACTCAGAGTCGTTCATGACGGCATAAAATAAATCAAGCACTATGAGTTTACACGACGCCATATTAACTCTACTCGGGTAAAGCTTCATGAACGCACCCCTGAAGTATCAGTCATAGATTAATAACCTCATTTTTTGAAAGCTTTTGACAACTTAGTAAATACAGTTGGCCAAAAGATTTTTAAATATTTTTAAGACAACAATGTTCTATCGTCTCCTAGCAATTTTTAAAGCTCCTACGTTTAACCTAGGCGAGATGTCTCGGTATTGGCTGCCGCTTTTTTGCTCTTATTCGATTACACTATTACCTAAAAAAATTTTATTTTTAAATTTGGCATCTCCATTGCTATCGGCAAGCCCCCTTTTTCTCTGTGGCGCAGGTTCTGGGACACCCTGTATATCACAACCATATACAGGGTGTTTCATAATATATGCGCAGGACTTCAGGATGTGATAGCTCATCCAAAAATATGAAAAAAGTCGCTATTAACTTACGCTCTAAAATGCACAATTTTCGAGATACAGGGTGTTGAAATTTTAGAAAAAAATTCGTTTTTTTCGAATATCTCCGGAACCGTTTATCGTACAAAAAACAGCTTTTGTAAGCATTTTCTACTCAAAATAAGCTATGTTTTGTGCCAGAAAAAATTTATCGTTTGGTTTTGTTACTTTTTCTAACGTTAAAATAAATTTTGTTTAATTAGTAATAAAAATTTTTTTCCAAAAAATTGACCATGTTTTTAAACATAAAAGTTGATTTTTCTCGAAAACGGTCAACTTTAGAGCTTATGACCAGGAGTACCTTTTTTGTGTAGAAAACATTGGCGGTTCGAATGGGCCTCTCGAAACCGTACTTTTTTCAGGGGCGTAGAAGTTGAGGAGAAAAACACCCGCTACCCCTTCAAAATCTCCACCAATTATGAGTAAAAAATTTTTTTTCTGGCACAAAACATAGCTTATTATGAATAAAAAATGCTTACAAAAGCTGTTTTTTGTACGATAAACGGTTCCAGAGATAATCGAAAAAAACGATTTTTTTTCTAAAATTTCAACACCCTGTATCTCGAAAATTGTGCATTTTAGAGGGTAAGTTAATAGCGACTTTTTTCATCTTTTTGGTTGAGCTATCACATCCTGAAGTCCTGCGCATATATTATGAATATATGGTATACCAGTAATATCAAAAAAAAATTTGTTTGGGAATATTTCTATGAAATGTTGGATTATATTCCAAGAATATTCTAAAAATATTCAGAACTGCTAAAAAAATGCTATGCACATTCTTAAGAAAATGTTCCAGGCATATGATATTTGATTATCGCTTGGTATATCCCGAATATGCCAAGAATATTTTCAAGGGAATATTTTATAAATATATTTATAAAATATTCCCTTGAAAATATTCCATATATGGAATATTCCGAATATTCTTGGAACATTCACTAAGGAATATTCTTAGAATATCTGACGAATTCCCATTGGACTTTTCTAAGAATATTCCAAAATTTATGTATATATTCTGAGAATCTTTAAAGCATATGCCAATGTTCAAAAAAAAAATATGCGGGGAATATTCTAGGAATATCGAATGTTCTTTGGGCAGTGATTGGCCGATTCCAATATTCAAATTGGAAGAAGACGACTATAATAACATTTAAAATTGGCAAAAAGTGACATTTGACAGATGTCAGATTTTATTTATTTATTTTTATAAATTATTTAATTATCTACTTATTGAAGTAGATGAAGTATAGTATTACACTCGAGATTATGCGTATTATCTCTGGTATAATAATATACTATTTTTTGCAAATACTTCAATGAAGATAATAAATATGACCTCAAACCACTGTTGCATTAGATATTTCAATTAACCTAATTGTGTAATGTATTTGCTCGACAAAAAATGCATCAACCTTGTTACGAGTTTAACAAAAATCAATGTTTAAATTGTCTACAGGGAATATAATAAATAAACTCTCTAAATTAAATTAGAAAAACCTTCAACATGTTCATGATTTAATTTAATTAATATAAAATAAATCGATGTTCGACGAAAAGGCTTCCCATTACCTTATCTTTTACACGTATTTGTGGCGAAAATGTAACACAGTGAAAAAATGAAGGGCACCATATCGAGGCAAAAATTAATATCGGACAGCGCGGACGATGTGGACCCGAAAAGAAATCTCGAAGACCCCATAGACAGACCCTTGAGTCAGATAGAGAAGACTTTTTTGCTGTCAGCAGAAAGAGGAGATTGCCCTACAGTCAAAAGGTAGATTTTTAGCGAACACCTTGGTCCAAGGTTAAAGTGTTATACATTAAACTGTAGCTTATCCAATTGTCTACAGAAAAGATTAAATACATTTTTTACGTATACCTACCACCAACCGTTTCAGATATATTGCAAAATATTTTTTAGACAATAATTTTCCTAACGGTTTGGTACACGAAGTACCTTTAATGTAAAGAATTTAAAAATATACAATTACGTATATAACACTTTGATCTACCTTTGATAATACCTACGCAAGATATTTACCAAAACCTTCTACACCGTGCAATTGCATTAATGTAGATTACAGTGTAGATGATCTAACATTATATGATATTATCTTCTTTTAAAACATTAAATCTCATAGAATACTCGAAAGATACAAAGCATCCCCAGAAGAATTCGACATAAACTGCGTAGATCCACTGAACAGATCGGCATTAGTATCTGCCATCGAAAATGAAAACATAGATCTTCTAAAATTACTTTTAGAGGAAAACATACTCGTGAAAGATGCTTTATTGCATGCAATCAAGGAGGAATATGTTGAAGCTGTGGAAGTTTTACTTTTATGGGAGGAGGAACACCATAATTCAGGGGAACCATATGTAAGATTATTCAGGGTGGTCCATAATATTCCTTATTTATGATACTTTAGAGCTGGGAGAGAGTGGATAGATCGTCATCTGCTTTCACTGCTGATATTACACCTTTAATTTTAGCAGCACATAAAAATAACTATGAAATAATAAAGATTCTTCTTGATAGAGGCGCTACACTACCTATACCACATGACGTAAGGTGAGAAACCGTTACAATACATAAAAACAGTTTATTATGTTCTCTGTTGTTTTTCTTAGATGTGGCTGCGATGAATGTGTTCATTCGAACTCACAGGATTCTTTAAGACATTCCCAGTCACGAATTAATGCATATAGAGCCTTAACATCACCATCTCTGATAGCTCTTTCATCCAGTGATCCTCTATTAACAGCTTTTGAGTTGTCAAGAGATCTGAGACGGTTAAGTCGGTTGGAGACTGAGTTCAGAGCTGAATATAATGTAAATTTGCTACTAGAATATCTGAGGGGTATTTAAGAATTTTCTTTATAGGAAATGAGAGCTATTGTCCAAGACTTCGCTACAGCTCTGGTCGACCACTCTAGAACATCATACGAATTGGAGGTTATCCTAAATTACGACCCAGATGGTGAGATGTGGCACCCCGGCGAAAGACAAACTTTGGAGCGACTGAAACTGGCCATCAAATACAACCAAAAACAAGTACCAATTAAAAAAACAAACAAAACATCTTATACTCATGTATTTTATAGTTTATAGCTCACCCAAGCGTTCAGCAACTTCTAGCTGCTATATGGTACGAAGGGCTTCCAGGTTTCCGTCGAAAAAGCATGATGGCCCAACTATTATCTGTCGCCAAATTGGGCATGATGTTTCCTGTGTACTGCTCTATATACATGATAGCCCCGAAATCGCAGATGGGTTTATTCATGAAAAAACCATTCGTTAAGTTTATATGCCACTCTATGTCCTACGCGTTTTTCTTAAGTATGTTTTAGTTAGTTAAAATTGTGTACTGTAATATTTTTTGTAGCACTGCTTGGAGCTGCCTCTCAAAGGATCGAAATTTTGGCCTTGGAACTATTTGGTACGGATTGGGTTCAAGATATGGTAAAAGAATGGCAACGGAAGGAACGGGGGGCGTTTTTTGGGATAGCAGAATGTGGTGTTATACTCTATGTTATAAGTAAATGTTTGTAAATTAATTTAAGAATGTTTTTATCGTTTATGTTTTTTGAGGTTTGGTATGGGCTGAGATAAGAGCCTTGTGGAACGATGGGCTTGAAGAGTACATATCTGATCTGTGGAATATTGTGGATTTTATAACGAATATGTTTTACGTTATTTGGTTTGCTTTACGGACTGCGGCGTGGTTTTTAGCTTGGGTAAAAATAATATATTTTGCTGGTATGCCTTAAAAATCATTTTAATAGCATCAAAACTGTAAAAATTAAGATTTTGACATTTTAGCGCCCAACGTTTAATGTTCTAGAAAATCTCTATAACTTCTGCATATTATCAAATATTTTGATGAAATCAGGGTGTTCTTACAAGAGTGCGCTATTTTTTAAAATGTTAACAGTTTTTTGGTAATAATATCGCCATTTTCTAAGTATTTTAAACCTTTACCTACAATAAAAAATCATCTTAATAGCACAGGTCTGCTTAAAACCTTAAACGATGAAAGTTTTACAAATTTCAAGTAAACATTTTTCAAAAAAGAAAAGATATTAAAAAGGATTTTGAAGAGAAATGGTACTACTTGTAGGTTGCATACCTACTGAGTTTTGTGAATAAAAAATATTTCCTGAAGTTTTTTCTTTTGGATTAATATTTATGTGTAACAGTTTTTTTTTTATTTTTTAGTACGAAGAAAAATTTAGAGGCGGAGATCCATGGTACCCCAGAGAAATGTGGGACTCTTTTGAACCAATGCTTATATCAGAGGGGGCTTTTGCAGCCGGAATGATATTCAGGTAAAAAATGTAAAAACCTATTATTGACTTCTATGTATCCAACATGATGACGCAACCAAAAAGTTGCTATTGCCTTTTTTATATACGATATTAAAATTAACAACAAAAAACTCACCTAATCATTATAAAAAATACAATGTAAATCCAACATTGTATCACTATATAGCAGTTATCATCCCACTGAGTAATGAGGTATTTCTACCCTGTATTGCACTTAAGGGTGCGCCCAATTAATAAAAATACATGTGCATGATGATGCGAAGGTCGTGTCAATAAAAAAATAAAAAAGTAATATCAATTAACTCACCAGTAAAACTTTAAGCAACACAAAAATATAAAACATTTTTTTATTTTTAGTTTCTTAAAGTTGGTTCACATATTCAGTGTGAACCCGCATCTGGGGCCCCTTCAAATTTCCCTTGGAAGGATGATTATCGACATCGTGAAATTTTTCTTTATTTATTCGTTAGTTTTATTTGCCTTTGGATGCGGTGAGTATATCATTAAAATGTATTTATAGAAAGCGATGAAAAACTGTCCAAAACAACTATGTGCGAATTAAATTTGTTTATTTGTGTTTATAACGATTTTAGATTACTTGATTTTGTTGGTATATCCTGGAAATGCTTTAAAAAAGCAGAATACACTTGGCCTTTAACAATTTTTTTAGTTATTAAACGTCTTTTACAAGGTACAAAAATAATCAGATTTTAACAAAATTTTCTAATTTTACTTACTTAAATGTCATCATTTAAAAACGTTAACAGTTTTTTTATAAATTTATTTTTAGTTGAGTTATAATGATTTTAGTACATCAGTGTCAATATGCAGGAATTGGCAAACCGTAACTTTTACATTTTTTATCAGATTTAAATAAAATTTTAAAGATTTACCAACAAAAGTACGCTCTTTTATACACAGTGGCGTAGCTAGGCCTTTTTAGGGAGGGCTGTAGCCTCCCCCCAATTCAGTCTCCAGCCAATCGCCAATCTTTGTACCTTATTAAGAGTTTTTCAAAAATATATTTCTAAAGGTATGAATCAGCTGTTATGGTACTACGCTGAGTTGGAGAAAAATAAATGTTACGTTTTACCAAATGGTTTACCAGATTTTGATAATAACGATAAAGCTTGCACTATATGGAGAAGATATGCAAAGTATTAACACATTTTAACGAAAAAACGCAAAATTTATAAACCACAAACATTTTTTAGTCTCTTCGAGACATCCCAATCACTTTTCTGGGCGAGTTTTGGATTAGTTGACTTAGTCTCATTTGAATTAACCGGTATAAAAGGTTTTACAAGATTTTGGGCGTTGTTAATGTTTGGTTCTTACTCTGTCATCAACATTATTGTTCTACTAAACATGCTTATTGCTATGATGTCCAACTCATACCAAATTATATCGGTAAATTATTTTTAAAAATCGCAGAATTTTTTTTAACTTCTATTATATAGGAGAGAAGCGATACTGAATGGAAATTTGCAAGAAGTAGATTGTGGATAAGTTATTTTGATGATGGTGACACTCTACCACCCCCTTTTAACATTATGCCAGCCCCAAAATTGTTTCTAAGAACCATAGGCGTCCACAGAAAAATAGAAAGTACTCAAAGTTTTAAAGTAGGTACGTATTTTTGAAATAATGCACCTTTTTGAAATGTTATTTCCAGGAAAGATCTAGACTTACAGTAAAACAAAGACACGAAGACATCATGAAATTATTAGTAAGAAGATATGTGACTGCTGAACAACGTAAACGCGATGATTTTGGCGTCACAGAGGATGACGTCATGGAAATAAGGCAAGATATATCCAGTTTAAGGTTTGAGTTAATCAACATTCTGCATACAAATGGTATGAAAACACCTCAAGTGAACTTAAGTGATGTAAATGGTGAGCTATCTACTCTAATATGGCGTTTTTATGAACACCAACATTTTTAGTGTCTGGTAAAAAGGGCAAGGAGATGGAACGAAGAATTCTGAAAGATTTTCATATAGGTATAGTTGAGAATCTATTCTCCGACATCAAATTAGGACAAGTTGAACCCAAGAATGTATTTGGCCAGATAGCCAAAGCTATAGGTAAACGCAAAACGACCAAGAAGAAGGACTGGAATGCTCTGGTAAAGAAAGGCTCCCTCAAGAGTGATCCAATAGGTACTAAACAAGAAGCGGAGAACCAAGTGATGAGAAGGCAGAGCTTACGTGGCCACATCCTTACGAATGTAACCACACCAGTCAATTTAGAAGACGATAAACTCTTAGAGTATAATCCAAAACTATCCGAAGTACCTCGTGGTGCCAGAGTGGCTTACGCAAAGTTCATGACGAAGAAATTGCAAGTGGACTTTGCTAAAGATGTCGAAATTGAAGGTGGAACCACAGAGGAAGTAAAAGATGACCAAAAAGACAGTGCAAAGTTGGAGAAGAAAGCTTCGCAGGACTCCGTAAGGAAGCTAAACAATTTGGCTGATGCCGCTAAAAGGGAGTCAGTTAAAAAGCAAGACCAAGTAGTTGTTAATGTTGAATCTAAAGAAGAGGTTTCTTTAATGGATGCCAAAATCGAAGAACCTGAACCCAAGAAAGAATCACTGACAGATCAAGATTTCGATAAAGACGACTCCAAAGTTGAAGGAGATGGTTTTAGTTATAGGGTGAGATATAATTAGTTTTCCAAATTATGACTATCAGAAAAATTATATTTTAGTTAGTTTACTCTAAAAATTGTTTAGAAAATGCATTAAAACTGTACCAACGGGTTACGATTTGAACAATCTGACGATTTTTTTAAATGCTCTGTATCTTTACACTTCAATAAAACTAACGGTTTAAAAAAAATTCATTTAAAAGTTACAACATTACAAAACTTACCATGATTCGTTTGAATTCACTTGAACCAAAGTTAGAACTAAATGTGTATGATTGCAATATTTTAATGTCTCTCTAAAATTCTAATGTAAATATATATAAAATCTAAATCTAAATTTAAATTATCGTTTACATGTTTATTATTTTAAGGTTCTTGAAGAAAGTACATCAAGCGAGCCGCATTCCCAATGCCTTTCACCTGTGATGGAGACGGATGACAGCAAATCTGAAGGTAGTAAAAATTAATAAATATACAGGGTTATCAGGAAACACATATTTTTTAGATCGCCAAAGCCCCATCCCACAAGATGAAATACCTATTATGAGTCCCAGTCCCACAGATGACCATAGTATAGATATAGAGCCTCCTCCTCAAGAGGATCAAAGGCCTTCGTTTATAGCCTCTGGGACATCTAAATTGTCTGGTCAAAAAAGGACTGGATGGATTTAAAAAATAATAATAGTTATAGTAACTATTAACTATTATAGTTGGATAGCGTTTATCGAAAAGAAACCAAGTGCCATAAACTTTCTGGGGTAAACAAAATTATTTGCAAAATAACTATAGTTATTATAATAATGCTCCTTAAAAAATTAATAATAATTAGGGAACCCTCTCAATGATTTTAAGAAAAGTTCCAAATGATGATCAACCTTTTGAGCAATATTAAACATGAGTTATTTTACAAATAATTTTACCAAGCCCAGAAAAAGTTTTTGGCGCTTGGTTTCTTTTCGATAAGCGATATCCAGTTATCTGTCTGTTGTCAATAAGACTTTAGAATATATTATAGTATTATGCACTTAATATTATATATTATAAATATTTCAGTTTTATGATGTTGGTAATATAAATAAACAATAAAAACTTCAAAAAATCAAATCTTTATTTATTCACCTCATATTTGGACATGGATTTAAACAAAATTAATTTGGTAAGTTTAAAACCACAAAAAACACCTGTAACATTTTCCCTCCAGAGTTTGGAAGCCCAGGGCGACAATAGGCTAATAAAAGCCCATTCAAGCGACTCCCTGGAAATGCCATGGGATAAAATACGATCCAGACCTCCACTTATTGTAGCCCAAAGCCAAACTGGGCGACAGATAAGCCCTGATTCGTTTTTTATGTGTTTTTTAGCTTTTTTACAATTGGTAAGTTAATTTTGGGGTGTTTGTTTTTTTAAAGCGAGCTAAATTGACAGTTTATTTTTAAGAACGTAAATCCTTTTATCAAAATCGCCAAGAATTCTATAGTATAGAGCACAATTCACACAACAAGGTCTGTTTTATCTCGTTCGCACATACTAAAAATCACTGCAACACTGCGCAGAATCTAACGGCAGCCATTTTTATGTTGTTTACAATTCTTGTGCTTTGAGTTTGTACTGTTTATACATATTAATAATCGTTTTAAACGTCGTGTTTCTTACAGAAGCAAATGAGGCCTCAAATTGCCAAGAAAAACCATTTTTACTCTTTTGTAAAAAATAAACCTTATTCTATCAGGGCCGTCATCAAACTGTCGAATTTCAATTTTAAGGTTAATTTACCGTAACTCATTAATTGAAAATTTTATTTTTAATTTATTAAATATTTCATTCCAAAATATATTATTTTTGTTTTAAATTATAATGTTAATGCTAAAAATATCTTGGTTATCAAAAGATATTAAGATATATGGTTTTAGAGTAGAAAGTTTACTATTGATGTGTACAGTGGCCGACACGGAATTTTGAACGACATAACTTGGTTGTCAATGTATACATCTGTAAATAGCAAAGATACAATATTGAGCATTTTTGCGTTCGCTGTCAAAATTACAATACTATAGTGATAACCGAAAGTAAGGTTAGTTGTCCATAAAAAAAGTTTAGATTTTGATGTCAACGGGATGATAGTCGTTCAAAATTCCGTGTCGGCCACGGTACTAAATTACTTATTAAGAAAAAAATTGAGTTATAATGTTTTGCTTTCCTGCAGGATGCATGTCACCGATTTGGCGCCCAACGTGTCAAACTTTTTTTAACGCTCTGTAACTTCCACAAATTTTTCCCCCGATTTTTATTAAATTTTCAAGGTATACTAACAAAAGTACTCTTTTGAATGCAGCTGCTACTAGCAAACCATATTTAAATAAAAAGTTATAACTTTTAAGTGCACTTCAAAATTTGCCAACCTTAAAAAATTGTAAAGTTGAAGAAAAGAAATTTTTATTAACCTAAGTAAAAAATAACACAAACTATATGTAAATCTAACGTCCAGATGTGGCCCTCATCCAGGCGTTGGTAAAATGTAAAGGTGGGGTATCTGTAAAAGGCGAATTGACCCTTTTCTTCCCAGAGGCCACTGAAGGCTCCACCACCAACGAAGCCCCATTAAAGTTGAACCCATTTAACTTGTCAATGGCTCTGTCAGCTGAAGATTGGTCCGGGCAGTCCACAAAGGCGTAACCGCCTCGTTTCACCAAAATGTTGGTGCACGAAAGGTTTTGCTCCAGAAAAAGTTGTCTTATGGAGGTTTCGCTCGCTTCTGTTGGCAGGTTGCCTATGTACAGCTTGCTCATGGTAATGGGGGGAATTTTTGAGGACGACATCCTCGCACAATATTTTATTTTTACTTGATTCGGAACACAAAAGGTTTCAAGAAATAATTTGTATGTCAATTTGACGTTTACTTGATAGTTTCGTTTCTATGGGGATATAATTTGTCAAATTTGACATTTGGGATAACAATTAGATAAAATGATGATTACACCATAGAGAATAAGTCTATGTTAAAAAACTACAAATCACAATCCACACAAAACACATACTAAAAATTACTGCACAGATGAACGGCGCATTTTTATGTTGTTTACATGTAATTCTTGTGCTTTGGATTTATGCTGTTTATACGGATTAATAATCGTTTTAAACGTTGTGTTTTATACAGAGGCACTTGTAAGCCTCAAATTAGGCCTTAAAGTGCCAAGGGCAAACATTTTACTCCTTTTTGGTAAAAAATAAACCTTATTTTATCAGGGCTGTCATCAAACTGTCAAATGTCAATTTTAAGATTAATTTGTGGGTTATGGTAAATTAACCTTAAAATTGAAATTTGTCAGTTTGATAGAATATTATATACAGGGTGTCTCAAAAGTCAAGGACAGCAGAAAAGGGGTGGATAGAGGGTGGGATTTTAATTCGAATAGTGTAAAATGACCTTAATTATATGGTTGACATTGTCACTGTCAGTGTTTTAGTTTTTAGGTTAGTTTTAACTTGACACATTCTTTTTTAAATAGACTTCTGTCCGACTTTGTGCTGTTTATACAGATTAATAATTTAAAAGTGCAAATAACAACCGGTTTACTCCTCTTTTGGTAAAAATAAACCTTAAGGTATAATTATTCCATCAGGGCTGTCCTTAAAATGTCAAAATTCAATTTTAAGGATAATTTACCATACCCCACAAATTTAAATTTGACAGTTTGATGACAGCACTGATAGAATAAGGTTTAAAATGGTTGTTCTTAGCACTAAAGGTCTCATTTGAGGCTTACAACGTTTAAAACGATTTTTAATCTGTATAAACAGCACAAGAATTGTAAACAACATAAAAATGGCCGCCGTTTAGGGTTGCCATATTTTATTTCAAAAAATAACGGACTTACCCCCTTCCCCCGACAAAAAAACTTTTTTTTTTAATATTTGTTACCTAAATAAAGATAGAGAGTCAGCTTAAAAAAGCATTCATAGATATTCTAAAAATAAACTAATACAAATAAAATAATGAAAACAAAACTTTCCTATTTATTTGGAAGACATAGAGGTACTTGCTTCTGACTTTCTTTTGACCATTCATATTTTTCTGATGACACTTTCTTTAAGATTTTTTTATTATTTTTAACTTTATTGTAATATGACAAACAATCCATTTCTGTATTTACTTTTATTTGAATTTTGAAAAAAATCCTAATAAATATCAGGAGCAATAACATTAACTATAATAGCTTTTGTTTTCGTCGGCGCTACAAAATTTTGGGTCATAAAGAGAGTGAATTAATTTTGACGTGCATGTAGATGAATTAAAACTAAAATCATGCTGGGTAGTATGATAGGCAAAAGCCGCTTCCTTTGAGGCACAAATTAAATCTTGTTCTGTAGGTTGTACGTTTTTAAAATACGAAGTAACAACTTTACTTATATTTGAGGCATTCGAAATATTTCTATGTTTCTTAGTGTTTTTTGTATGTTGTATTATATCGCGTCGGCCTCCTTGTGAAATTGAAAATTCTGCATTACACTTTGTACACCTTGCCATATGTTCTAATTTTCCTTATAAAGGAAAATTCATTTTCATACTAGTAGAAAATGATTTAAACATGGTTAATCTTAAACTACACTGAGAAAATTCCAATCTTAAATTATCTTAATGAAATTATCTACATAGTGTTCAAAATATATCTAATAACCAGTACAAATTATCTATCTGTGACATGAAGACGAATTAAGGTGACTAATAGATACGTTTTAATAAAGTGTCAAAACAAAAAATATAGATCATCTATATTTATATTTTAACAATCATAAAATATCTAAATACCACCATAAACTCAGATTAATATGTCGCTGTTCTTTAAATTATTTTAATGCCAGTGATAAATAACTAAATATGGTTAATAGACGACCTTATTAAAACTTGTCTTAATAACCATTACTAGTCAATTGTGAACACATAACATAAGATTGTGAACCACCTTAAATTATCTAAAGACCTTAAGAAGTTGTATAATGGCCTTAACAAACTCATCTACCTAACTAACAGATTCGGCTTTCCGACTATACTCGAATCGACCAATCGTTTAACTAGCGTCCACAGCACAGAACAGCGTCCTCTGTGGTAGCGTCATTTATTATTTCTCACTTGTTTACGGGAAATTGAGGATAATATTGAATCGTTTATAGAAGAAAAAGGGCGTTTCTTCACAATTGTTTTGCGGTAATTTTACAGAACATGGTAATGGCTTTCAAAGTTACTCTGCTTGAATGGGGGCTCAGTGATTTTGTTAAAGGATTTGAAGGTAGGTTCAATTTCTTTCTATATAGTTTTCGGGGGGCCTGCATTAAGCATTTAAAAAATTCAACCTGTATTTATTATGTTGATGATACTTTTATAAATGTATGCTTTGAAGTTTATTTTATAGGATATTGGTAAAATCTGAAATATATTTTTGGTAAAATGTTAACAATTTATTATTGTTAGGTACCATATTTATAAATAAAACAGCTTGAGAAAAATTACCAAGATTTTTAATAGGTCAGAATATTGGCTTTGATTCCTTAATTTATTATTTAATTATAAATGTATAAAGTTATAATTTTAAGATGGCCTATCTGCTGAAATAGTTTAATTTTTTTAAAGCTCAATTGTTATCTTTCTTTTAGGGTAGACTGGCTAAAAATGTTCAGAAAATTATGGAGTTAACTAAATGGAAATAATCCTTAAAAGTATTATTAATTAATATTTATACTAAAAGTTTACCCAGGTAGCACACTGACGTATGCTGACTTTTATATGACTTCTTCTGACGTTAATATGACGTTAGCAAAGTCATTTCAACGTCATATAAACGTCAGTGTGCTACCTGGGTAAAGTCTTGAAAATGAAAATAAAGTCCCAACACAGAAAATGCACTAATAAGGTCGTCTAGTAAAAATAATTTCGGTATTTTTCTCTATTTTATTTCCTAAAAAAATAAGGAAAGCATTAATTTATGCTAATTGCGATATGTTTTTCTGATTTTTTTATAAACATTTAGGTTTAGTTTAGGTTGATGAAAATAATGGTGTTAATGATTTTTTTTAATAAAATAAATTATGTTCAAGTACTCGAATACTAAAATGAAAATCCAACCTTTTAATGCATTTTTTCGCGCTGGGGCTTTATTTTATTTTTAAGACTTTACTTTTAGTAGAAATAATGCTTTTGAGATTTATTTTCGTTTATTTATACCATGGTGCAGCTCCATTTATAATAAAATTAAACTATTGCCGTAAATAGGCCATCTTAATATGATAGCTATAGCATATTATTATGGCAAATAAATATATTTAGGATCATATTAAGATAGCATAAGAGGATATTAGGATGGAATTAAGATGATCATAAAATAATATATTTACCATTATAAGATTATTTATTTGCCATATATGTACCAATTTAGGATCATATTAAGATGTCATAAGAAGATATTTAAGTGATATTAAGATGATCCTAAAATAATATATTAACCCTTATAAGATATATATTAATGGCCGATATAAAAACTTTTGATGGTCTTATAATAATTGTATTAAGTTTGCCTATTGATGGTCACAAAGTATAGTTATTAAATTGAATCTATTAATGGTATTTAAACGGTCTTAATGTCCCCTATTTTACTGCGATATCTTAAATAAGGTTATTAAGAATATTAAAGATGGTCTTAAATTATTTTTCTCGGTGTACATGCTAAAAGACCTTCACCTATGTCTGCTGACGCTGTATCCAAAGCCAAATAAATTAATAAACACTGGAAAACGCAATACTTTGTATTGTCAAAACACCAGCCACCCGTAGGGAATTCCCACGTTTTATGTCAATAATTGACAGTCAATTGGCCACGGAAGCGCAATGTCTATAAAATTGTTTGCTTGCTTGTATTTATGTTTGTCCAGCTGGTAAAACAGTTCGCTATAGTTTTATACCGTGGTAAAAGGCTTGAAATGATAAATCGTCACCCTAATATTACAAGGTTGCATGTTACTGTTTACACATTTTGAGTAAAACGTAAAACAAAAAAAGCCCATCAGCCTTTAGGTACAGTCAATATTTTTCACTTGTGATTTTGCTTTGAGCTGATTTCATATGCAATCTTAGTAAATTCTCATGTTTATTTTGACTCAATTGTTGTTATATTCAAAATTAGTAAAATTTTGAAAAAAACATACAACTTTGTAATTTTTTTTAATTATATTTATTGATTATTTACGTTACATAGAACTATGACATTTTAATTAACTTAAATATTTTAATTACCGTATACTTCAAAATTAGAACTAAACTGAAAAAATAAAAACTACACAAGAAAAATATTTAAAATACCTACAAAAACTTTAAACAAATGTTCTAATTTTTTTGTGTTTTTTGTGCTTCTTTTTTGTTTCAACTTTTTAACTACCTACTGCCGTTTTAGTTTGTCCTGAACAGCTCGGCTTTGGTAAAATCACTTTTTTATTTTTTTCCCTGTTTTATTTACTACAGCCGCCTGGACGCTTAAATTGCTCTGCTTTGGTAAAATCGCTTTGTAATATTCTAGATCTACCTTGGGCATCCAGGGAAACATACTTCTTATAGCTTGTACTTTCTTTTCAGGCAGTTTTATCTTATCACGAGATTGCTTTATTTGGGCGATGTTATCGTTAGTTGCTCCCTTTCTCATCTTCGGTCGAAGATTAACGGTTGTGAAGATGTTTTGTAAAAAAGAGGTTTTGTACTTGATTTGAACATTCTGAGATTATTCCTAAAAATGCTAGAATATTTACAATCAATCTATGAATATTCCTGGGGAATATTTCAAATAAATTATTATATGAATGTTCCCGAATAATCCAGCATATTCCAAGAATATATTTGGGAATATACCCTAAACTAGATCAAAATTAACAGCTATAGCCATAGAAAAAGAATATAGCTATAGCTGCATTTTGGGCAACTGATTGATTAATGTACCTATAGGTAATATTGTTTGTTAAACAATATAGGTATAAGAGTATTAATATTATTAATATTAGAAGCCATATTGGGGTGTAAATTATTTAGTATGTGCTTATTATTACTTGTACCCACAGACCAAGTCTGTGCTTGTACCTTAAAGTATAATTAAGGTATAATTATACCTAATTAATATAATAAGTCTAGACTAGCTTGGACCTGTACGTTATATAATTTATTTATAATTATAAATATTATATATAATAATAATTCGTACACATGCACAAAGTATATTTATACATAAATGTGTGCTCACTGATAACTTGTGTATACAAATTTTACGTATTTAAAATGAGCGCCTTTAATATCGCTACTCCGTGGCGGGGCCACTCGGCTCTGCGCGCGCACGGCAGAGATTCTCGGCTCTGCCAATAGCAGACAGGCAGGTTCTTCTCTCTGGACAGGTTCACGAATTTGATGAAGACGGTGTGTGTTGAGAGTGACGCTGCAGCCATTTTCTAGTTTCTAGTTAATTGTTAAAAGGTAAGTTCTAGTTTTTAGCTAATTGCTCCTTCTTTAATTATATTAAAATACTAAATGCTGTTTAAAACTATATCTACTTCTTTATCTTCATTTAATTAGGTAAAAATGAGTCCCCAAACAGTTCATTTTCCAACCGGCTTTTGTAGTTGTATTTTATAATTATAATAAGTTGACTTTCAACATTTAAAGTGCTTTAGACACAAAGTCGACATTTGTTTTTAATTATATTTTATAATTACATCGCTTATTATTATGTTTTGTGCCGCAAGCTACCACAAAGGAAATAGAGGATCAAATGGCAGTCTGGCTGACCAAAGCAAAAAGAAGGATGGAAGCGCTTCAGCAGTAGAAATGTGCAATTCCAATTTATACAGGGTTACTGTATTACAGTACCAAAGAATTTGTTTTTATTTCGTTATATATGTATGTATTTTATTTCGTTATATATGTATGTATTTTATTTCTTATATATATATATATATAAATATATATATGTACATTGTATATATATGTATATACACATTGTACCCATGTACTACAATTGCTTTTATTAAACTATTTAATATGAAGTTGTCTTTATGTCCAAAAAGGTCCTTAAAAATAACAAAAAAACCCGAAAATTCTTTCAACATTCCAGCCTACTAAATTTTAATAAGACTGGAATATTCCCAGAATCAATTTTAAAAGAAATTATGGAATAACTTAACAATATTTGAAGGGCAGATTCTGGGAATATATTTTTCACCATGCTATGGATAAATAAAAAGCGGACATTTTTATATATCAGGAATATTCGTGGGAATATTCTAGGACGTTTGGAATAATCCTAAAAATATTCCTGGAATAATACTGGAATAGGACTGTGCGGTCTGGGTAGCGATGTTACCTTTGAGAAAGGAACTGCGTCATAGTTAAAGTTTTGCGCATTAACTTGAAATTCCATAAAATCTGATGCTTGCAGTTGTATAAGCTTGTAGGGTTTGCGTTCTTTAACATTTTTTAGTGCACGCAATAATGAAACTGGGGAATAATATTCGGTAGCTCTTAAAGCTTTTTCAATACAACTATGTACCGCATCTACATCTTGAAGAGCAGAATGACCTGGCACAGAAAATTTCATTGTAACTTTGTAAAGTTTATTGTCTTTTTGTAAAAGATGACCAATTGCAAAACTCATTATACTGTTTAGATTTTGTGGTACACAGCTATCTCTCCAAAGCGTTATTTCTTCGATATTAGGATAGTCTAGTAAAACTGTGCTCAGGATCTTGTAGACAGCACTGGCCATATCATTACCATTTCTTCCTTGCAATGTCTCTGGCCATACTGCACAGTATACTTTTTTATCTATTGATAAATGAGCTGTCATATTATATACATTTAGCTTGCTTTTGTAAAAAAAGTTTTTTATTTCTGCTTTGGGGCATGTTAAGACATTTTCTAGGTCAAAGCACAGTTCAACTTTCTTATCGTATTCGTCATTTTTTCTCTCTTCTCTCATTTTGTCTTTCTCTTTTATATGTTTTTCATACTGCTCAACCTTTTCTTTTGTATTTGCTTCCTCTTGTTTCTTAATTTTCACCTCCTCGCAGAGATCACATCTATCCTTTCTGGGTTTGTGAAAATAGATATTGAATTCGTTACAAAATATTTTTCTGTAAATGCAAAATTTTTTGGGCACTTTACATTTTTCTTCCATAAAAACTGTATACAATTCATACATTTTTTTAATTGATAAGTTGCCTTCTACAAATTGTCGCTGAGTATTTGCCCGACAATAATGCGATTCAATGCGAGGAAATAAATTTATGTGATCTCTGATCAAATTTAGATCCTCATCTGATGTAAACATTTTTTTATGTTTTCCTTGAATACTGTGATGGGGAGTATCAGCAGGATTTTTTTCTTATGAGCTGTGTACACTGGCTTTTGGCTGATGGAAAGGGTACCAAGATAAAACAACTTGCATACCTGCACTCTTTGTCCATTAATTTTAAAATAATATCGATAAGAAATAGTTTTTCTAAAATTTCCAGGTTCGGTTTCCTTTCTTCGATGATTAGGAAGAAAGCTTTCTGTAGTGGATAAAATAAACAAACGTTTTTCTTTCGATGTCAGACTCCTAGACCTATAGGGTCAGACTGTAATATTCAAAAAAAATTGTTGAGCGCTCCTGTTCAGTTATTTTTTGTGCACATTTGTAAAAACATTTAGCTACGCAGTCTTTATTATTTTTTATATATCTGGCTGGAACCTGCTTGTTTCTCACCGAGGTATATTCTTCACCTTTGTCATATTTTAGCTTTCGAATATTACACTTCCATTTGGATTCGTTTCTTTGTAATTTTCTTGTAAGCCTCTTTTTAGGCTTCAACGTTGGAGTGATATCGAATAAAGTGGGCTCTGTTGCAGCAGCTTCTTCCCCTTCCAATTCATTACTTTCTGGAGGCTGCACCTCCATTTGATTACTTTCTACAAGGTCTTCCAATTCATCATTAATTATTGTCGCTGTCGATTCAACATGCTCGTCATAACTGTGCAAAAATATTTTAATTACTTATTAAAAGAGATAAAACACCTCAAAAAATACCTGAGACTTTCGTCGCTATCCGATTTATTATCTGGAATAAATTCCTTATCTCTATCGGAGTCATAATCGTCAAAGTATGGATCCTGTTGATACTTCTCATTAAAATCCTCATCCATGTTTTTATTATTTAATTATTAACAAATTAATTACAGCACTTGTAAATGAGATGTCACACAGAACTCAGAATCTCACTTTAATAGCACATGAAGTTGCGTTAAAATGTTCGTATGTCAGAAACAAAGAACAATGCAAATTGAAAATTTGACGTTACCCAAGTATTGTTGATTGTGTCATTTTTGTGATTAAGCTAAATTCTCACAAAATGTCCGTATTTTTTGAAAACCCTAATGGACATACACCCTTGTTAATGTTAATTTATTTCCAAAGTATTTATAACAAAGGTGTATGTTTTAAATATTAAACATACACCTCTGTTGGTTTTATTAAACATATTAAAGCACATACACCTCCGTAATTTTCCTAATATTTTACTTAATATGGGTAATTCCATCTATGTTTTGCTTGAAAAAGAAAGATTTGGTAACATACAACCTTGTTATATTATTAAGTCGGAAAGTGCAAAAAACATGACATACAACCTTGTAATATTAGGGTGACGAAATGGCAAATAAAATACTATATAAAGTTATTAATATAAGGTTTAATTTTGGATTCTAAATTTTAAAAATAACGGACACAAAAAAATAACGGACCGGACAAACGGACGCCCTGAAAAAAACGGACTGTCCGTTAAAAAAACGGACGTATGGCAACCCTACCGCCGTTCGAGTCTGTGCAGTGAGATAGATCTGACCACACCAAAAAACGTAGTGTTTGCTTTAAATATATATTATTTATTTTAAATATACCGTTAGTTCCTATATGCGCGATTAAATGAATTGTTTGTAATAAATATTTCGTATATTTCCCATTCAAAAGAATGATCGTCTTAAAACAAGACCTCGGGCATCATGGCGCGCAGTGCAGGAATCTCACACTTTCTGCCCTTGTAGTGTAATATACTATATATATTCATCATACACTTTTAGTAAGTATAATTGAATAGGTACGTTACTTTATGAATATTGTTCTATTTAAAATGATGTTCAACATATATGTTATAATTATTGGCAATAGTCTTAAGAAAAGTATAATAGCTTTAAGATACACTTGTAAAACAAAATATAAAATATCCTTTAAATAAATCAAAGATTCAGTTAAAATAAATTACTAAATTCATATCAATAGATATAGATTTGTTTTAAATGTAATACCTTTCCATTTAGTATACTCATTTAAATATATGAATTTGTTTGACTTAAAACAAACATTTTTATGTGTGCACAATCTATACAACATTTTAAAAAGCGTATTTTTATTTTCACAGAAACCCAAAAATCAATTAAAAATGATCCACAGTTATCCAAAACTTATAGATCTTCAAAGTCCCCTCTAAATTTTAGTCCCCAAAAATCTGATCAACTTTTAATCTGTGTAACTGCAATTTTAATACAAATATTAGTACTATGCTCTTTAAAAAAACACCATAGATTATTTTTTTAGCAAGCTGGACTTGGTCTATTGGGCGTTAATATTTGGACCATGATAAGAAAATACCCATATACAATAATGATCAGTTTTGTGATAGACAACACCTATTTTAGTATACCCGGTGCATGTTTATGTTTTTTTGGTTTCTGGATAGCTGTTTCTACGATGAATCAGAGAAGTTCACAATTTTTATCCCTTGTAAGATTTAAAATACACAGGGTGTCCCAGAAATGGTGCTCTAACGCCATACCTCGAAAGTGGGAGACACCATGCATGTATATACCATGTTAATAATTTTTAGCTGATAGTCTTCATATGTCTTTCAACAATACTTTTGGTCACTTCTTCGTACGTTGGATTTTTATTTAAATCAAAATTAGAACCAAAAAACGAAACACTACTATCGGAAATCAAGAAAACCGAATTTATATCATCGATGGGTCAATCCTTGGTGCAATACGATAAAATAAAAATACACAAATTTGCATGGGACGTAACGCAAAAAAGATTGGAGTGTTGTGGTATTTTTAACGCTTCTGATTGGATAATTTTACGGGAAAAAATACCCGATTCGTGTTGCCAAATGGTTGTTAAAAAGTGTAAATTTTGGATTATGTTTAAAATATTGTTTTTAGGGTAATTGTACTGAATCGAACTCTTATAAAAACAATTGTGTGCCATTTGTAGCCCATGAAATCTATTGGTACAAATTATTTATATCTTCATTGAATGTCATGGTGGTAGCAATCCACGTAAGTATTTTTAACGTGCATTTTTAATGGTAGATATATACAAGAACTCTGTATTCTTAAGAAAACACTTTGACGAGACTTTTAGGGTATACCAACATAATTACGACCGAGGATGAAACCAAAAAATTGCATACGAATTAACGGCGAAGGTAACAATCACAAGGGTAGTCATACGCAACGCGTCGCTAAGAGATATTTCTTATTGATAAGGATTTTTCCTTATTGATAACAACTGATAAGGAAAAATCAGAACACAACGTCCACATAAGGTTAAACGTTTACCCCTCGATTACGACAATGTTGATAACATTAATAAAAGCGTATTTTTGTTGGAATACCCTAAAAATTATAGCATTTTTGTGAAATTTACAGGTCTTTAAAACATGTTAATAAAACTTTTTTTTTAGATTTTATCACTGATAATTATAGGACTAGTCTACTATTGGAGAAGATCATAAAAAACAAACAATTTTTCATTACATTTATTTATTTATTATACACATTTACATTGAGCAAAATAAAAAAATTAATAAAAATAAATAACCAAAATAAAAACGTTAAAACTTAATATAATAATAATTCGATACTAAAAAGCTTGAATGTAAAATAACTTGAAAACAATAAATAGCTGTTTGGGTAACTTATTTTTTAACCTACTTTTATTATTTATTTTATTATTATTGAATAATATACTTAAGCACAAAGCTGCACAATTTGTCAAAATATTTAAAAAAACAGTCTTAAATCATAAAAAATACACAGTGAAAAAGATTATTAATTTTTTTACTGTTTTGAGCAAAACTTTTGGCACATAGAAATAAAATTTTGTGGTAACATGTATTTTTTATAATTATTGGATACAAAAAAATTACTTAAGATTGTAACTTATTTTGTAACATTCTTAACTATGTCATAAAAAATCGATATAAAAAGACATTTATAAGTTTTTGTACTTGGACCTTAACTTTACAAATAAAAAGTACATACATTTTAACCCTGAAAAACCATTTGCTAGAAGTTTTTTCAATTTTAAAATGTCCAAAATTAAAATTTGGGCAAACAAAATTTGGTAACAATAAATTAATCAATGAATTCAATGGTGTAACTATGGTTTAAATAAAAAAGCAACCAATGGAACAACATTAAAAGAAATGTAGTCAGTATACAGTAAAAAAAGTTATATCACAGATTTGTAAAAATGACAAAAAATCGGAAATTACGAAAAAAAATTACACCCATGTTGCGAATTTTTCAAAAAAGGCCTTTTGTTTTAATTGCAAACCAGAGTGGATTTATTGGACTTTTTTCTGGTAACTTTTCGGGTTTGCAACAAACTATACCTCAATTTTTGTTTGCAATTTAACAGTTGCCATCATACTTAACAAAAATGCGACGTTTTCGTATTAAAAAACGCGACGTTTCAAAAACGGGACGTTGCCAAATTTCAAACAAAAATCGCAAGTATGGAGGGCGGATTTGTTTTTTTTTCGTTCACCAAACGCTGTCGGAAATTTCGGCGTCGTTAATTTGTTCGCCGTGAAAAAGCACCGTTGCCACGCTTATCGAGCACAAGCATACGGTTATGACGCCTAGTAGAATGTAGACGGACGTTATGAGCCAAAAGGCGAACATGTACAGATTTTTATTGCAATATTTGCCAGAGGTGGGGTCGAAATTCGGCTCGTACTCCTTATAAACCCATACGGAACCTAAAAATGTCAAAATTTGACGATTTTTTTATTTAGTAAGTTTGGCAACGTCGCAATATTTACGGCGTTGCAAAGTTTATGCGTTTTGGCAACACTGTAAAACGGATTTAAAAGATGTTTTTATTAAAAACTTACCAATTATAAACCAACCAAGCATAAAACAGTTGAGTAAAGTTTGTGTTGGTGACTGTCTTAAATTTTCTTCTTGTCTTTCTTCTTCGGTTTGCCTAACTCTAGTTGATAGAGCCAATAGTTGTTTAACAATGCCAAAAATGCCTTTAAAAAAGCAAAAAACATTGTTTTTCTAAATTTTCTTGATTTTTTTAGTCAAAAACTGTTCATTGCTATAAAATGTTGTATGTTTGTCGGTATACTCTAAAAGTTTGATTAAAGTCGCTTTGATTTTGTAAAAAATACGATTTTGACACTTTGGCGCCAAACGTGTAAGGTTCTCTAAAAACCTCTATCACTTACGAGTTTTGTAGAATTTTGATAAAAATTGTAGGGTATCTTAAGAAAAGTGGTGTTTAAAAATATTAACAGATTTTGACTATATCTACCAATGTAAATTTAGTTTCTAATATGTCCGCAAACTACTTCAGCGCCGAATTAAAATTATCATGTACAAAATTCAAAAGTTGTTTTAAATAGACAATTATTTAAATTTATTATTAATCATATTAATTACTTGGTTAATCAAAATAATTCCCTGCATTATTATGTTTGAAGGAAATTGTTTGTAATTTTAATTATTTTATTTAAATGGTGGCTAATTTTATGTTAGTTAAATTAAAATGTTTGTTGAATTAATTGTAACATGATAATTTTAATTCCATATTTAAATTTAAAAAGTTATAAAATAAAAATATAAATAACCATTTTTTTTAACTATCAATTAAAAAAAAAAATTACGCCGTCAAGGAATAAATTGTTAATTAATTTTAATAACAAATATTGACTAAAACTACGTTTCATAGTATACAAACAAAAACAGGTTTTTTTTAACATTACATTTTTAGACAACAAAATTATAGCGCCTTAAAAACATTTTTTTACTTCTCTCATCTCATATATCCCATCAAAATTCAGATAAGAGATTTTACTCGCGTTTAAACATATTAAAATGAAATCATCGCAAAGCAATTTTATCATAATAAATTTTATGTTTACATTTTACGAAATACAAAATAACATTATAAACACGTTTTAATTAAGGCCAATTTACGAATAATTATTTATCTACCTCGATTTTTACGAATTAATCAATTAATTTATTAATCAAAACAAGCGCGATAGAAACAACAATCTTAAATGACTTAATTCATGTTCTGTGTTAACCTACATTCTAGAGGAGAAAAGAGACTTTCTTTTTATGTTAATGCTAATTGTAAAAGTGAAATTTATTCGCAAAAGCGTGTATAAATAAAATATATTTAGGATTTTTAGTACTTTTTTAAAGAGGTTCTTATAAATATAATGTAAAATTTTTTTCAATAGCTATTAAATACCTAAGCTAATTTGGGTCATAGCTCCGCCATTTTGTATTTTTTGTAAACAAAACTATATTTATTTACACTTAAATGTATGAATAAATAGTGAAAAAATTAAAACAAAATTAAAATGTTAATTGGACCCAATATAAATCCTTGAAATGCAAAATTTTACATTCATTTAAATTTTGTAATAAAGGGTGAATATAAAAAACTTACCTCCCACTAACAAATATACAGGAATGTACTCTCCTTGTGGACAATCATTTAAATAAAGGGAACCCATAACTATCATACATATTGGAATTACTATAGTTACTCCCAAAATAAAGGTACAACCCACTAAAAAAAAAAAGATTTGTAAAATTAAATGTAATTTTTACAATTTTTTAAAAACAGCATAACTTTTTTAAAATTGTTGGAAAAATCATGTTTTTTGGAAAAATGTTTAAAAAACCTCTATAATTTCAGAAAAAATTAACCTTGACAAAAATACGTTTTTTTCTATACATATTTACTGACAAAAAAGTTTTAATATTCTAAACACATTTTTATTTTTATTAAATGCTTTTTACATTTTTTTGTACATAATTTTATTGAGAACAATTATCAAGAATAATTAATTACGTAATTTTAATAAAATACCCCGAAAATTCTGTAAAAATATATACGTTTTTCTCGAAAATATGATTTTAACATTTTGGCGCCCAACATGTATTGTTTAAAAAAAAACTATAAAATCTACAAAAATTTACCAAACAAAATAAAATTAACAGGGTACAATAACAAAAGTACGATTTTTCCAAAAAAATAATAACAGATTTTTTCTATACTCGCTGAAACAAAAGTTAGATAGCTCTAAACCCAACACTACTAATTTTTGGTGTAAAAACAAAAATAAAATTGTGTAGAACTTACGTGTTCCAAGAACAATAATAATAATATTCTTTAAAAAGTCCAATACCCCTTTACTGGACTTATGGGCTTCCCTGACCCTGCCAAAAAGAGAGTCATATGAAGGTGGAGGTGCTACAACAAAACAACATGAAAAACACAAAATCCACCAATAATTTCACTTTTTTACCATTGGGATTAATAGCCTCCTCGTAGCTTGGGGGGGCCATGCTGTCTCTGACCCCCGCGGGCAAAATCGTTCCACCCCGTTCATGATATAAGGGCGGGTGATTTATCAGGATATTACCCCCAGTCATTTATATATTTTGTTCTATTTTACTCACTATTTCGTTAAAAAATCTACATCACGAATAAAAACGGTGCCCCATTTGTTTTTATTCGATACATTAGTGAAAATGTGACATGTTTATAGAAAAATGTAACATATTTTGATTAAACGTCAAAAAGGTTACTAGCTACTGCCAACTGCGCGGCGCCAAAGTTACTAATAGTAACTACTAGGTTTTAAAGTATACGAGGGTTCGTTGAAAAGTTCGATTTTGACATTTGCGATGTGTTAAAAAAACCTTTATAAGATCCTCAAAAATAAAGCAAATGCACAGACAACCTTTCGTTTTTAGATTTTTAGAAAAACTCAGTAACTTTAACCAAATTTAATGAAATTATCAGTGTATTTACAAAACTACGGTCTTAAAAAATGTAGTTTTTCTAAACTTACCATCCCAACCACTGATTTTTTCGCTAAGAGAAATTTCTTATTGATAAGCAAGTTTTCCTTATTGATAACAACTGATAAGGAAAAAAAGTTAATTTATAAAGCTCTAAAGTAATTTTTTATGAAAAGAGTTGTTTTTAAATGTTTTATACTTTTATTAATTTTTTTCTTAGAAAATTGTAAATAAGGTTGAAAATACTAATTTTGTTTAGCTAACATGTAGAAAATACTATTTTGGTTTTGATTTTGGTGACCAACATGTCATGTTTTTAAAAAGTAAGTTCTACAAATTTGATAAAATAATCAAAGTATTTAAAAAAATAATGGACTTAAAAAAATAGGTTCTTCTAAACTTAACTTAAAAAAGTTCTTTATAATGTTTAAAATGGTGCAATTTTGTTTATCTACCCTAAAATTTTCATAAAAAAACACATTTTTGTAGAAAATACGATTTTGATATTTTGGCGCCCAACGTGTCGTTTCAAAAAACAACAGTAACTTTTAAAAAAATAATCAAATTTAATGAAATTATTATTGTATTTCAAAAACTACGGTATTTTTCTTCTAAACTTACCATAAAAAAGTAAAAATGCTCTAAAGTATTTGGTAGATCGGCCATTTCAAGCGTACGGACGGGACAAATCACAAACCTGTTTTTATAAAAAAAATTGTAGGGAATTTATTATATATTATTTTTGCATCAAAATTGTCAAATATATTCTTTTATTAGGCTATACATTAAATTAAAAAAAATCGCAAGAAATATTTTATAAAAGTAGAGATAATATATAATAATAATATAATATTTGACAGGTGTGGACGGGACAAGATAAATTTTTTTTTGTCCTGTCCACACCTTTTTATTATTAAAATTATCTCTACTTTTATAAAATATTTCAAGCGTTTTTTTTTTTAATAAATAACTCAATAAAATAGAATATTATTGACAATGTTGATGCCAAAATATTATATAATTACCATTTTTTTATAAAAACTGTTTTGTAATTCGTGCGTTTCGCACGCTTGAAATGGCCGAGATCATAGAAATAAAATGCTTGAAAGTTTTTGACATCTGTATTTTTTAAACATAATTTAAAAAATGTACAACATTGTAAATAATTTGGAATGAAGCTATTAAAGTACAGCCTGGTTACTACGAATTTAACATTTGTGCATAATCGAGACAAAGCAAAAAATATAAGTTAAAAAAAAGAAACTTAAATTAGTTTGGGTACTGAAATAGTGACAATAACACTATACAGTTTACAAATAATAAAAAACTAAGCCTGGCTGTTAAATGATCATCAATCAAATTATTTATATTTAGGTGTAAGGGGGGAACAGTCAGGTGTGACCTATAAGATAGATTAGATTAAATATTAATTTGTTAATAATTAATTAAATTATCTAAATTATGTGGACGACCAATCCATGTTTTCCTGCTGTGGATTTTTAGTACTGTCTTGGTTACCCTGCTGCTGGTCCTCGGCCTTCGCCTGACTGTTGTCTCCCGCCTGCTTATCCTCTTTGGGGGGAGAGGGCGCTTTGGGTGCCGGTTTACTCAATATGGCGTTGACTGCGTTATCGAATGCGGAACGCTCTTGTCTGATTTGCGCGACGGTGATTGGTGGAGGTAAATGCTTAGGCGCGCTTATGGTTTTCGTTCTAGCCTGTTGCAACCATTGAAACGAATTTTGGAAACTTTGCTCCACAGTTTTTACTTCGTCGTTGGAAAGATGGGCGTATTTTGGATTGTTTTCCCTTTAAAATAAAAATGTTATGTAAAAAGGGTTGCTCGGTGTTTGCTGCTGAGGCCTTAGACAAGGCTGCAGATCTGAGTGAGGCAGTTCATATGCTTTCTCCCCCGTGTTGTATAAATATTATCGAGTTTTGCGACATTTTGTCAGGTTTGACTGATTTCGAGCTAAACGCGATAGATGGAACCACTCTTCCCATGTTATTTCAATGTATTTTTATTATTGTACAGCGGTGTTTAATAATTTGACTTTTTAACTGCGTACAAATATGAAGTCTTTCTTTGTAGGTTATAAGTGTTTTAATGAAAATATTAAATATTAATATAAATTTTATACATGCTTGAAAAAAAACTTATTAATTTTTTTTCCGGTGTCGGCAGATTTACAAAAACTCTCAGAAGATGGAAATTTTTTGCGACGTTTCCAAATTTACAAAAATTCACATAATCTGGGAATATATTATTATTTTGACATGTTTGCCAAATTTATAAGAAAATCCTAGAACCTGGTTATTTTTAAAAACTTCAAAGGATACTTTCAAAAAGTCATTTTCCACTATTTATTTTTTAAAGTTTTGGTTTCCAGATACTCGAATGACAACTCCTTTTATAGTAGATTGAGGTCCCTGAACAAGTTTTTTTTTTAAATTTCAAAATGTACAAAAGAAAATTATCAACTAGTGCTAGTTCGCTAGCCTGGAGGTTATTGCGCCGCTAGAAATTTAATAATTAAATAGGATTACATAGCACTTGTTTTGAAATGGGCGTACTTTGAGCATTCCCTGTAAATTTTATTAAATTTGGTGTTTTTTGATGCATAATAAAGGTTTAAAACATCGTCATTTTTAATAATATTTTCGTTTATTTTTACAAAATTACGGCATAATGTTAGGGGGCGTTAAAGTATTAAAATCAGGATAATTTTAAAAATTACATGTAAAAAAATGTATTAGTTGTAATTAGAGTATTAATTTTTTTGTCAGTTAAGAGAGAAATTCTGATTATATTTTTGGAGAGCTCGGATTTAAATAAGCGCTTTTTTCGAGTATTAGACAATGTATTTTTTTTTTCAAAATTTTACAAAATAAATGGTTCAAAACAACTTCCTAAAGATTTAAAAAAAAAAAAAAAAAAAAAAAAAAAACTTGGCAACATCGCAATAAAACTTCAAAAAATACTTCTCGGGGAGATTTTTTAAATCGCAGCTAGAAAAGTTTCCGACGGATCCGGCCCATTTTCAATAGGAACCTAATCTCGGCGGGCGCCAAACTTGGCGAAAAAATGTTTAAAGACCCAGAAAACAAAAAAAACTCAAAAATTCGATTTTGAATCGATCGGCTTACGGCCTAAAACGACTCCTTCACCCGGTTCCGCGATTCGTTTCACACATGCCAACGAAAAGTTATAACACTTACTTGATCATGTCAAGAGCTTTTTGACACATCTGCAAAGATTTGGCGAAATCTTCAATTACGACCGGTCTCAGTTCGCATTCGATTTTTCTAGTTTGAATAGGCTCGCCTTTCTGTTTCAATTCGGTCAGTTTGTCCATGTAGAGCTGCCTGCTGCAATCTTCACCGTCCTCGTAAAGCCAATTCTCCATTTCGTCCAGCTGCCTCACCAAATTGTCTCTGTCACCTTCCAAAACGTACAAACCTAAGAAAAAAGTTATTATTATTATTATTATTATTCTACTCGGTACCTTGGCGATTTAACCTCGTCATCTCTGTACCTTGGTTTACCAAAGTAAATAGTCTTGTAATAAAAGGCAAGGTACAGAGACCAGTGGGTGGACTCGTAACGCACCTAATTCATCGTCAGAAGAGATTTTGCTACGTAATTCGTACACGTATTCTTCTAGAGCGTTTCTAGCGTCGGCGCGTTCTTTTTCCTGCCTATCGCAAGCGATCATTTTGAATTCCTGCTCGGTAAATTGGTTAATTTCGACTTGGGAAAAACCATAAGTTAGCACTTCTAAAGGCAAGTCTACGGCTTTTACGACCTGTTTTTTCTTTTTGTCTTTGTCTTCCTGAAATTGCAAGAAATAAGCTTTGATATAAAACATAGTAAGACAGAAATAATGCCTTACTCCTTATAAATTAAGGAATAAGCACGAAATAAACATAAATTTGTGTACAATTAGTGACACTAGCCCATAGTGATGAAACACATTTTAGAGACTGATTTTTTTTGTAAAGAAAACAATCACAAAATATCACAACATGCTCCAGTAGTACTGCCCTCTTTAGTGAGAAATAAATAATGTGAAAAAGTGTATTTACTAAGTATTTGAATAAATGTGAACAAACATATGTGGAAAATAGTGTTTGAAGATATTTGTGCAAATATAACCATAACATATAAAAATAGAGCAAAAACGAACAAAAGTAAACTAACTAATGAAATTATTTTTTTAAGTAGATACCTTGGAAAAAAATTATAGTCCACAAATATTTAAAAAAACAAAAAATATTTATTACCCAAGCTAGCTACTTTCAAAAATTTTGAAAACCATTAAAATAACAACAAAAAACAAAGACAAGATTTTCTATATGCAACTTGGTTTTGCAAGGTATTAAAACTACAGTCAGCGATAGCTCCGATAGTACGTATTTTGCTGTCCTATCGAAATTATCGATATTATCTTCCGATAGTTTCGATAGTTTGTAGCTTCGGCGGACAGCGACCCACGACTACCTGCTCTGATAATCGGTGGGTTTTAGTTATTTTTATTATTATTATTATTATTAGTGAACTGATCTACAACTGTAGGCAACACAAATAATATCTGTGCATCTTATGTTCTGTACTGTATTTAGATATAACCTAAAATCTAATGCATGGATTTATCTTTGATCTAACGTTTCGTTTTCGTATCTTCTAAATTAGATTAGCAGTGCTAATCTAATCATCCAGCATCCAAAAAAACCTGCCTGCAACTGGTATAATATTACTGCGGCAATATTTGGAAATGCCAAATATTCCGCTGAAAGACGATCCACTGGATTATTGGCGAACAAAAAATGATGAATCTTTCAATAAATTAATAAGTAAATATTTATGTGTACCAGCGACACCCGTGCCTTCAGAATGCATGTTTTCAAAGTCTGGGCAATTACTCAGTGAAAGGTGCTGCATGTTCAAACCCAATAGAGTAAACATGCTCCTTTTTTTTAACTTTAATAACTCATTTGAGCCTTAGTTTTTCTAATAATTATTTTTTGTTGCAAGCCTACTCAATCCTTAACTAATTAAGTGTTAAGAGAATTTATTTTTTCTTAATATAATAAATTTATTTGCTTTATATGCTTTTCGTTTAAAACTATCGATAGTTCCGATAGTTAAAAATATCAAAACTCGATTTTTAATTTTTTGTGCTATCGCTGACTAATTAAAACAATAAGGATTATTGTTGTTTTAGAGCTATAGGGTTTTTAAAATTGAATTACAAAATTATGACCATTCCATTTTTTTTAAACATAAAAACGAATAAAAGTAATCAAACTAATGAAGTTGTTTTTTTCCAAGTAGATTCCTAGGCAATAATTTAAAGTCCACAAATATTTAAAAACATTCAAAATTTTTATTACCCAAGGTAGCTACTTTAAAAAATGTTAAAACCATTAAAAAACAACAAAAACAAAGACAAGATTTTCTACATTGCACCTTGGTTTTACAAGATATTAAAACAAGGAGGTATTATTATTGTTGTTTTTGCTAAAGGGTTTTTAAAATTGAATTACAAAATTATGTCCTTTCTAACTTTTATTTTTTTTGAACTCAGAAATACTTTTGGGCCATTTTAAGCGCGCAAAACGCACGAATTCCAACAAAAAAAAATTAGATAATTTATTATACATTTTGGCATTTAAATTGTCAAAAATATTCTTCTTTTATTAGGCTACACATTAAATTAAAAAAACGCAAGCAATATTTTATTAAAGTAAAGGTGTGGATGGGAAAAAAGAAAGATTTATCTTGTCCTATCCACACCTGTCAATTATTAAAATTATTTCTATTTTTATAAAATATTTCTTGCGTTTTTTAAAATTTAATGTATAGCCTAATAAAAGAAAAATATATTTGACAATTTTGATGCAAAAATAATATATTTATAATAAATTACTTTAATTTTTTTTTATAAAAACCCTTATATATAAAAGTATCAAAGTTTTTTAAAAGCTATGCATTTTCCACAAATTATTTAAAGTATATGAAAACTGTTGTTAACAACAAAAATTTTGTAATTTTGTAAAAATCACTAAAAATATTACTATTACTGTTTCAAGAAAAAAGAGATTTCGCAATTTTTTTTAAATTATAAAATATTAAAATTACAACTTGTTTCAAGAAAACACGATTGTTTCAAGAAAACGGGTTTTTGATAGTTTTGTTAAACTTTGATGAAATTTTTAGGGTATACTAAAAAAAGTACGCTATTTATAAAAATAATCAGATATTACTTAAATAATTATCGGGAGAAAAGTTATAGTGAGATTTATAGGGCATCCAAGGCACCCAGACAAAAACACTCATCCTTCAGAAACCAGAAAAACAAAGCAAAAGGGAACAAACTGATAAAAAAATTAAAACTAAAACGACTATTTTTTGTAAAAAAACAGGGAGGAAAATGACAGAGGCCAGCACTGCCGGGACCTAATGCGTACCCCGCCGAACCAGCCGGATATTTTCTTCGTCCAGCTTGTGCCGGAGCCTACCTCAGCAGCGCCCGAGCCGTTCTGCGCGTGCGCACCGCCGTCCTTCGCGCCCTCTTGGTTGGCAGTGGCGCCGTCCTGCGGCGCTTCGGCCTCCTGTCCGCCCTCCTTGGCCGGCGCTTGCTGCTGCTGCTGCTGCTGCTGCTCGTCGGCGGTGGTCAACGAGCCGTCCGTGTCCGGACTGGCGTCCTTGGCCTCGTACAGCGAGGCGCTGGATACCGTCATGATGCCGTGCAAGTTGACGCGCACTTTTACCTTCACCTTTTGCGCTTTGCCGTCCGTGTTTGGTTTTATGTCTTTCACGATCCATGTGCCTGCAAATCAACGAGAGAACATTGCAGATTTTGCGTTTTTCAAGTCTGGCATTCTAAAATTGGTTTTTAACATTCTCAAATGTGCTTTTGACGCCAAACGGTCAAAACGGCATTTTACCTAACAGGTGTTTTTAAAATTAAGGGCGTTAGAATAAAAGAATAAAGCATTTAATGTTACAAAAATTACCATGGATCTTAAATGCGTTTTTTTACCATGGAACCACTTGTTATTGAGAAAGATCAATAAAATAACGCAACGGTATTTTCAATCACGATTTCGACATGTGACATGTGATAAGTGACATATGTCAATAGTTCACTAGTCTAATGAATTGCACATTTTATGTAACAAATACATTAAAAGCTGTTTAATGTAATAAAAAATCTCAAAAAATTGATTAAAAATCATTAATGTTTTTTATAAAAATTGATTTTTCTAAAAAAGTGCCAAGCGAATTGAGTTTATCCTGAAAAAAAATTGTCTTGTAGGTAATTTTTTATCAAAATATGAAAAAAAATCGGATACGTCTGAACCTTTCAATTAAAAGTTATTCAGGGACACCGTGATTTAACTCTTTTTAATTTAAGTACTTTTGCGTAATATGTGTACAAATTTAGCCCGGTTGTTTCCCCCTTGATTTAAATTAAATCATAAATGTTTAGCCCAAATTAAAATTTATTATGTGAATTTAACACTTCATTCAAAGTTAAACGTTATAAATAATATTGTAGCGAGTACCGCCCTGGATATCGGAGTGATGACTCATCGCCGATTAGTCATGCCGGTGAGTCATCGCCGGTGACTCAGCGCTCGAATAATCGAGAGTGTGGAGCTCGCTGGAATGTTCCAGAATACTTGGGCGCTGGATATATAAGAAACGGAGCAACACAGAGCAGTTAGTTGAGATTTGGTACTCGCGAAGAAATAAATAAATATAAGTGCAAATAAATAAACTAGTAGTGATATAAATAATTAGTAGTTAAGTGTTTAGTTAGTTTTATAGTGTTTTAAGTGTAGTTAAGTTATTAAATAAATAGTTTAGTTTGTTAATTAACCAGTGCGTGTTTTTATTCACACTACGAACAGTTAAAAACGTTACAATATAATTTTAGAAAAATAAAAAACTTACCAATATTTTTATCCGGGTAAGGCACATTTCCGCTGTATTGCGCTTTAATAGAAAACGGTTCCTGTCTGTAAAGCGTCAAAATTTTCGAGTACGGCACTGCATGGTTCACGGGGAAAACTTCCACCTCCCCTGCGGCCTCGCCACTGGGACTGGCGTCCCAATATACAGAAATAGGATAAGTCTGAAAAAAAAAGCAGAAAATAATAATTTTGTAGTAAAAATACAGAAGTTTTAAGTTGACGCTTTTTAAACAGCGTGTCAAAATCGAATAAAACCAATATGTCAAGTAACTTTTTTAACAAAACTCGTAAAAATCGAATAGACAAACCAATATGTCAAGTAACTTTTTTAACAAAACTCATAAAAAGGAGAAAAGTTAAATTAAATTTTGAGGCTGGTCCTGGCTATTATTCAAAACAATTTCTCGAACACTCATACATATCCAAAAAACAAAAATGACAAATTTAACAATGCAAAATACTAGTGGACATGTTATTGATTTACGGAGGGTTGTCAAAATGTCAAGGGTGCTTCACAATTTCTCTAACCGGATTCAAACGTCTTGGGAAACAAAAGCATTGTGCAGGACACGTAGGATGACCCACTCTAGAAATGTTCAGCAGAAGGAAAACATCCTGGATTTAGTGCATGAGGATCCAATGAGAATCACTCATGTAATCGCCAGGTTCAAGTTCAAGTCAGAAGAAAATTTGTAAAATTCTGCACGAAAATCAGTTTTCATCCTTACCACGTTCAAGCCAGAGGATTTTCCATGCTTCTATAGCAATATGTTGGCAATAACTTTTTAAGATGAACATTAGCTTAGAAGAAAAAACAACAGGAAGGGGTATTTCCATTGTAACAGGTGCGACACTAAAACTGCGTTTTTTCATGATAATAAAGTGTTTGTTCATATATATATCAAGATACGGATTTTGGTGATGTTTGGAGCCATTTTGGCCGCAATAAAATTAATAATTTCCGCAACACACATGTTTGGGTGGTTAGTAGTCGCGGCGAATGTTTCAAATTGCGTCATCAATGTCGAATGTCAAAAACCGATTTCTTGACATACGGTTAACCTAGCAGTTCTTTGGATTATATAGGAAAAAGAAAACAGCAATAATTGTTATGTCTGTGCTTGGTTCAGAATTTGATGACGAAATTTGAAACATTCGCCGCAACAACTATAGTAGAGATGTGACTTAAAAAAAACGATCCGTTTTTTGTTTTTTTTCAAGATTAGTTCCAATTGCCCAGTCCACAGACTAAAATTTAGCCACTAAATGACATTTAGTAAATGAAAATAGTCACGCGCCACCGCCACCAAATTGACCAATAAGGGACAAAAAAAATATTCCTTAATTACAGAAAAAAAACAAATAAAACTAAACATTGAATGAAAATTGGTCCTTATTGCAAAAGGGAGTCCATTGAAAATATCCATTTACAAAATAATGCATGATTTATAAAGTTACAAAAAAAATTATAATTTTATAATTCGATGTGTCAAATAAAACGATAGTGATGTTAATATAACACCGAATATGTTTTATTGCGGTCCGGTAGAATATTCTAACATAATTAAAATAATAGGAATAATTATTATTTATAATCATAATACTATATAATAATTATTATAATCAGAGCCGTAAAAATTTGTAAACTTTTATAAAAATTCACTTTCGCATTTTTTTCGTATTATTCTCAGAATAAAATAAAAAAGCAAGTCAATTTTTTTGAAAATTTCCGAATGTTTCCGTTTTTTCGCGCCTGCTCAATTTTTCCGGTAATATTTAAACTATTAAACATGTTAATTGGACCATTTATTTTACCAAACTGTTTAACCGGCGATCACTACCTCCATTTTGCAAGATTTTTTCCGTTTTGCTGGAAGATGTACCTGAAAATGTAATACGCAACATGTGGTTTTGCTCGAAGGGGGCGCAGCCTAATTTTAGGCGTGAGGTATTTTTTGAATGAACAGTTTTCTATTACTTAAAAATCAGGCTGTATAAAATGTTTGGCATAAAACACATTTTTGGTTGAAATGCGCATAAATAATAGTTTTATTGCAAATATCCGTTTAATTAATGTTCAACTTCGCACCTTGGTCACCAAGGTGCATAGTTGAAAAGGTAGCCTCGACAACGTGTTTTTACTGAAAAAATATCGAAAATATTACCTGCACATCGGTAACGCTGAATTCCCTGACTCTGATAGACGGCGAAAGCATTGCGCACTGCAATGCGCAACCTCTGCTGACAGCCTCGTCCTGATTTAAAGTTGTACTCGGCGTTTTCTTGAACACTTTCTCAATCAACTGCTTTATCGAAGGGATTCTCGAGGATCCACCGACAATTTCTACGGAGTGAACGTCGTCCAAACTCAAGCTCGAGTTTTCCAAGCATTTTTTTAGGGTTTCTTCCACTCGGACCAACAGACCGCCGGCCATTTGTTCCATGTCGGATCTTTTGAGTTCTCCGTGCACGTCTTTGTCCTCCATGAAGCATTCGATGTTCAGAGGGAGGGTCGTGGAGTTGGCCGACATTTGTTTTTTGAGTTTTTCCACTTCCGCTAACAATCTGATGGAAAAAATTAAGGTTTTAGGATGTTTCTAGGTACCTTGGTCACCAAGGTAGACAGTAGACAAGGTTGTATTTTCACTTATTTTTATTAAATTTTTGTACATGTTTTCCACTAAAAGTAAGCAAAATAAGACTTTAAACTTAGCAGCTTATTGAAAAGTGGAAAATGATTATGTTTGTCTCACTTGACACTCAAACATTAATTAATTTAAATATTCAAGTAACACGGAGACCAGTGGAGGGCAAAATTTTAATTGTTTGTACAATTTATGTTTTTCAATTAATTAATTGTAAATTGTACTTATAAGTACTACAATTAACAATCAATTAATTGTTAATTGTAGTACTTATAAGTACAATTTACAATTAATTAATTGAAAAACATAAATTGTACAATTAATTAATTGGGACTACAGCAATTAACAATTGCCTGGGCCTTAGAAAAATTGATTTTTTTCTGAAAATATACAAAGCAGTCAAGAACTTAACATTATTTGAATTTAAATAATAAATTTATCACAATAAAAACATTAAATTGAATTGAATAAACTTAAACGTTAAATATACTGTCGGTTGGGTCCTTTTTGCAAAAGGTAGTCCATTAAAAATATTAATTTACAAAATAATGATAAATAAATAATAATAATGATTTATAAAGTTAAATTACAAAATTCTAATTTTATAAATCATTGTCAAATAAAACGATAGTTACAGCACCAAATTTGTTTTTTTGCGACCCGGTGGAATATTTAAGAATAATTATTATATTCATGTATATAATTATTAGGGATGGGATATTTAGGTACTAAAAACTGAAAAATAGGTAACTAAAAAGGTACTAAAAAAAGCATTTTAGGTTAAAAAAAACAGCATTTTAGGTAAAAAAAAAAAACATTAAAAGTTCACGTTTCGTTTATAATTTTGTTTAGCCGCATACCCAAATACAGAATATACCCACAATAAACTATTTCCATGCAATAAACTGTGTTTCACTGAGTGACACTCACTACACAGAAGTTCTATGACAGAACATAAGCTCACTACAAAGAAGGTAACTGTAAAAAAAGTTACTGTTACAGTCTGTGATATAAGAAAAAATTTTATACCGTTGAGTTGCACGCCCTGGATAAAATATTGGAGCAAAATTTAAAAAGAACACAAAAAAATAAAATAAGTAAAAATACCTAATAATAGATAACAAATAGGTGAAAATAAACTGACAAATTAAAAAATATGTAACAAAAGTATAAAAAGGTAGTTTAAAGCAAAAACTTCCAAAAAAGGTAAAAAAGGTGAAAACAAGTTAAAAAAAATAGGTAACAAAAGTATAAAAAAGGTAGTTTAAAGCAAAAACATCCAAAAAAAGGTAAAAAAGGTAAAAACAAGTTAGGTTCATATAATAGAAAATCTTTTAAAACACATTTTGGCATTATTGGTTTTCAAATAGTTACATCGGTTGAAAAAAGGTAAAATAACTAAAATCCCATCCCTAATAATTATAATCAGAGTTGAAAATTCCTTTTTTTTCTTGTTTTTTTTTTCATATTAACCTTATTTTTCTAAAAATGTTCGTTTATTACCGAAAAAAAACCGTATTTCTCGGCTCAATTTTTCCGAAAATTTTAAAACTCTAGCCACAATTAAAAATTAATTAATTGTTAAATGTGACTATTAATTAATTAATTGATTTATGTCCAACACTGATGGAGAACAACTTTACAAAAACTAAAATACTTCAAATTTATATCGAAGGCAATTAAAAGTAACAAGGAAATATAATCATTAGGCATTATTAAAATAATTGGAATAGAGTTACTCAAAATTTTTTTTAGGTTTTCCTTGATAACTCCCTTATTTTAAACGCTAAAAACACGGGGTTTCCAGTAAAAAACTCAAAATGCTCACCTCAAAAACGCCCTGGCGTTAGACTTGGCGTCGATCTTGTATCTGCCCTGGAACTCGTGCGCAAAGTGATTGGCGAGCAGCAAATCAAAATCGCGACCGCCCAAATTGGCATCGGCGGCTGTGGCAAGCATGCGCAACTTGCCCTTGTGGAAAGCGACGGCGAACACCTGCAGCGCAGAGTGACCGCAGTCGACGAACACAACGTTACGGGGTTTTTCTTCCGGGGCGGGCAGATCTTGCTTGTAGATGCCGTAAGACAAAGCAGTTGCGGTGGTTTCGTTGAAAAGACGCAAAACGTTCAAGCCTGTAAAGTTTTTGAGTTACAAGACAACCTCTGTCACTATGCACCTTGGTTTTCAAGGTACAAAGTACAGGGTGGTCCACGTAAGGTGACCCATATACTTATCTTAGAAACTACTGGAGTCACAAAAAAATTGTAAGAAACAAATATTCACGAAGTAAAAAATATTTTTAAAATATTATATTTTCATTTATACAGGGTGTTCGGTTTTCCTTGGGACGATACCAACTTTCTTATTTTCAATGGAACACCCTGTATTTTTTTGCATTTTTGGATTCTACCCACTCCTTTAGGTATACTTTGTAAATATATTAATTAAGAAAGTGTTAATACTTTTTGAGTAAAATTAAGATTTATTAAAATTTCTCTAAATGTAGACACTCGCTAAAAGTTAAAAATAATCAACTAAAAGTTATTATTTTTTATATTATGTAGTATCCATCTCTTTAATAATAAGTAAGCTATAAGTTAATTATTATATTTTTTGGAAAATATCATACAGGGTGTTTTCTATGTCCCGTTGAAAATAGCGATTTTAAAAGTTTAAAATCTTGTTTTTTTTCAATGGAACACCCTATATATTTTTGCATAATTGGATAGAATAAGTAATTACCTTTCTTTTTTTATATATATGTCCTATACCTAAACCTAACAGAAAAAAAAATATTCGCATTTTTCACAATTAGTAGCTTTTTTCCAATTACCTTAGTTAAATTTTCATTATTCAAATAAATAAATTTCAATAACAACAAATAAAAATGCTTTTATATATAAATATATATTACTATAATAATTACCATACGCGCAAAGCTACTAATTTTGTAAAATGCGAATATTTTTTTTATGTGATCCACGTAAGGTGAACCATACATATACTTATCTCAGAAAGTACTGGAGTCACAAAAAAATTGTAAGAAACAAATATTCACGAAGTAAAAAATATTTTTAAAATATTATATTTTCATTTATACAGGGTGTTCGGTTTTCCTTGGGACGATACCAACTTTCTTATTTTCAATGGAACACCCTATATTTTTTTGCATTTTTTGATTCTACACACTCTTTTAGGTATACTTTGTAAATATATTAATTAAGAAAATGTTAATACTTTTTGAGTAAAATGAGGATTAATTAAAATTTTTCTAAATGTAGACATTCGCTAAAAGTTAAAAATAACCAATTAAAAGTTATTATTTTTTATATTATGTAGCATTCATCTCTTTAATAATAAGTAAGCTATAAGTTAATTAATTTATTTTTTGGAAAATATTATACAGGGTGAATAATGAAAATTTAACTAAGGTAATTGGAAAAAAGCTACTAATAGTGAAAAATGCGAATATTTTTTTTTCTGTTAGGTTTAGGTATAGGACATATATACATAAAATGAAAGGTAATTACTTATTCTATCCAATTATGCAAAAATATATAGGGTGTTCCATTGAAGAAAAACAAGATTTTAAACTTTTAAAATCGCTATTTTCAACGGGACATAGAAAACACCCTGTATGATATTTTCCAAAAAATATAATAATTAACTTATAGCTTACTTATTATTAAAGAGATGGATACTACATAATATAAAAAATAATAACTTTTAGTTGGTTATTTTTAACTTTTAGCGAGTGTCTACATTTAGAGAAATTTTAATAAATTTTAATTTTACTCAAAAAGTATTAACATTTTCTTATTTAATATATTTACAAAATATACCTAAAAGAGTGGAAAGAATCCAAAAATGCAAAAAATTGAAAATAGGAAAGTTGGTATCGTCCCAAGGAAAACCGAGCACCCGTATAAATGAAAATATAATATTTTAAAAATATTTTTTACTTCGTGAATATTTGTTCCTTACAAATTTTTTGTGACTCCAGTAGTTTCTGAGATAAGTATATGGGTCACCTTACGTGGACCACCCTGTACAATAGGCGTTTTTACTCATTTGTATTATGTCAAAATGCACTTTTGACAATTTTTCCCACCAATTATACCAAAACAGCTTAATTAAAGTTGTATTCCGAAATTACATTTTGATAGGAACCGAGATTTTGGTTCTTCTGAAATTTCTGTCAATTGTCAACATTTTGGCTGCTGTCAATTTTTTAACTAAAATTAGATTTTGTGTCTGTAAACAAATAAATAAATCCCCCTGATTCTGTTATAACAATTTATATTTAATATTTAATAGGTAATTCGAGAAACATGGAGGAAGGTTGTAGATTATAACTTAAATTTATGCATTTATATTAAGTAGCATATAATTATTAATATGTATTATAATAAAACATATTTCTTTTTAAACATTAAATTTTTGGTTTTGTAGGAAGTTGTTTTTATTGTGGTAAAAGTATTAAAACCATTGATAATTTTTAATATAATCCCTAACCCTTGGAATAAGTTTTTTTTTATTGTCTTTTAGTCTTTTTCAGACTATTTAGCTAGCTTATGATATTTTTATTTTTAATAAACACCCAAGGCTGTGACCGGGAATCGAACCCGGTACCGTTAGACGCAGATTGTTTACAGCTCTGTAGCTCAACCCCTCGGCCCCGAATAATTTCTAAAAATATAAATTCAAATTATTACGCATAGTTTAGTATTTTCTACTTAAATGAAAATTATTATACATAGTTTAGTACTTTTTACCTAAACGCCTCCTATCAGGAACCTCTTCATCTTCACTTTAACTATCATCCCAGTTGATAATTTCAAAAGAACTGCTGCTAGATTTATTTTAAAAATATTTTGTATTAACACCCAAACAATAGAAAAAGTTTGGTTAGAATAACCGTCAGGTTACCGCTATGTCATCAAAAAAGAATTTCGGAACATAACTTAAATAATGAAATTTATAAAATACCTACTTTAAAAACAAAAAAATTATTTTTTTAAATCACTTTATGGTTCATAAGATCGTTTTAATGAAAACATTTTAACTTAATAAATTAAATCAAAAGGGTTAACGACATTTTATCGTAGAAATAAGTTTTATAAATTTTAAAATCGTTTTTATAAAAAATACACTTTTTTACAAAAATAGGAAATTTTCTACAAAATGTTTATTTTGAATATTTTCTTTTTATAATAACAAAAAACTTTAAAAAACCTTACCTGCAATGGCTGCAGAATCCAGCAGAGCCATCCTCTCATTATTAGTGAAATAAGATGGTACAGAAATGACACAATCGTTGATGGGCGTTTGCAAGGCAGTCGTTGCAGTATCCTTGAGTTTGGTGAGACACATGGCCAAACACTGTTCGGGCGAGAAAACATGCTCTTCATTCAAATAGTTAACTTTGATTCCAATGTTGCCATTTGCAACTTCTATAACATTGAATGGCATTGATTGTATTTCCTTTTGGACATGTGGGTCCCGAAACTTCCGGCCAAGCAGTCTTTTTAAGCCATACACAGTGTTTTTCATGTTGGTGACTTGTTGGTTTTTGGCAGCTACACCAAGCACACGGTTTTTTCCAGAAAATGCAACGCATAGTCTAAAAAATACAAGACACAATGTCTCAACAATGTTTTTTGAAAATATATTGTTTTCTATTGATGTTGGGTAAAAAGTGTTTCAATCTGTCTTAAAATTCTCTACAAAAGTTTAATTAAACTTGAATACATTTTTTACACATTTAAATATGGAGCAATTTTAACAAATTGGCAGTTTAAAAAAATTGTGACATGTACCCAGGCTGGGTGCCTGGGTACATGACTGGGTGTCTTCTTTAACTTTGTGGGGACTGAACCCTTAATTATATTGTTAATATTTTAGTACCCAGAGCCATTTCTTTTTGTAGAAATATTTGCGTGTTCGGATCTTGTTGGGGTCACCACTTTAGCGACTGGGTGTACAGGTAGATAAGCAAATTGATCAATTAGGTATATACAAACTTAACTTTATTATATACATATTTATTCACAAACTATCTACGAACTTAGCGTGTAGTTAGCCGGAGCTGATGTATTCAAGACGGAGAATTAGGATGTAGTGGTTGATGAGAGCTTCCAGATCTTCCACCGTTGGTCGGGGTAGGTAGTAGGTATTAAATATATAGAACCAGGCAAAAATTCAAAAAATAATAGTCTATTATATTTTTGGATTTAATTTATAAACATGATTATATTTCTTTTGTAAAGGTAAAGTAGTAATAAACCCAGGGATGTTTGCAAATGATGGAAAATTTTGTTGTGTTGAAAGAAATGGCTCCAGGTACTAAAATATTTACAATATAATTAAGGGTTCAGTCCCCAAAACTGCAACAAAAATAATTTAATTTTGAAGAAATTTTCAGTTTACTAGGTATCAAAACTGTGATTTCTAATAAGAAAACAATAAAAACAATGTATTTTTATTGGTATACCTAGTAGGTATACCTACCATAAAAATAACCCAACAAAGTAAACATTTATTATCAATTTCAGAGTGTAGTATAGTGTAAGATATTTTAATAACATGGTGTAACATATTACACCCTGTATATCTTATAAAACAAAGTGTTATATTAAGTTACTAACATGGTTTAACATGTTACACCCTGATTATCTTATAAAACAAAGTTTCTAGAATTGTTTAAATTGCTATATTTTTTCTTTAAAATGGCATGACTGTTCATTGTGATTTGTATGCTTATTATACTATTGTTCCATACAAATTCGATATTTTTGTTGGCCCACGTTGTTATGAGTAACGTTATCTGAATTTGGTAACACAATTTCACTCGCAAACGTAAAATACGAGCAAAAATGTAAAAAATCAAGGTTGAAGTATCCAACCCAAATTTCTCGTGGACAAACGACTTCTAACCTAAAAAAAACTTATGGTACTTACGGTGTGGCCCTTAAACTGTAATCGTTTGCGATAGTTTCGATGCCTCCGGCTTTTGCGACGGCCACATAACAATTTTCGTTTCCCAGGTCGATACCAATAACTGACATTGCGGCCATTGTGAAATTATTCGCTTTTTAAATCGTTAAACGTTAAAATAAATACGCGCTTTGCAGCCTCAATAAACGATAAATGCAGCCTGGAATGATTTACAAACGTTCGTCTTCACGCAATCGACGATTTTGCACACAACGTGCCGGTCAATTCTCAAGTCACTGAAAGAGGAAATTGCTCACGTCGCACCATTGCCAAACCAAAAATTTAAATATAGTTAAACACACTTAAAACTCCGCAAAACTTTCTTCACACATCAAAAAAACATTACAAACACTTTATATGTCACAAACCAGCCCCGAAAACATCACAAAACTCTTAATTTTAATAATTTTACAACAAAAATGTCCCTCTTATGTCACGTCAAGCACAATCCGGCAACATTGTCCCCAGAAATGAAAGTACCAACATTACAAAATAATTGGTGGAATTTTCTGGAACTTTCCGGAGTTTCCGCTTGTCCTCGTATTCTGGAAATACTTTAAATTATTGTCGTGATCGATAATTAATTTTGTAATTGGATCAACAGGCGGAAGTATAGGCATATACACAATCCACACAACATTGTGGGATATATATGGGGGATTAAATTTAAAACTAAAAGTTACCAGGAATTTTGTTTGATATTAATAATAATAATAATAATAATCAAATTTTGGTATTTGATATTAAATGTCTTAGGATAATGTTAATATAAAAAAAATATGTATAAAATATTTAATTCTATATACCTAAATCATACAAAAAATATGGAAAACTGTTTAAAAAATAGTCAAATGTTATGTTCTGTGAGTCAAATCAATCCTAGATCTTGATCGTTTTGAACGAGTATCATCCCTTTTACCACATTATAAATCAAAACCTAAACTTCCTATATGTACCTACATACTTCCGGTAATCACTAGTCTTGTCATTTTGACAGCGAAAGAAAATAAAATACGTTTTATTTTACAACATTGGCATCGCTGAATTTGCTGTCACGGCCTACTGTTATTTATTTATCAAACTTTTTAAGTTGAAGTCTTCAACTACCTGAGTTTGGTTATACTACCTTAAAATGCACATAAAGTCATTATTTCCTGAAATATTTAAAATTTCCGCTCTTTTCGACATGGTCACTTTTTTAATTCAAATAAAACAGACCATAACAGCTCTATTAACTTTGTGTAACATTTGTGTGGTATTTAATGCGTGTAAAAGCAATTTTTATTGATACAAATGTTGTATTAATGATTTAAAAATAAAAATTGTTTTTTCCTGCAAAAGCGCTGGACGCGCACTCTGGCGTGTCCCAGTCGAAACTTCTACCTGTCTGCAAATACATATTGAAAATTGCAAATTTACTAATTAATACAGTACATAAAAGAGCAAACCATGGTAAGATGCGTTATTCAAGTTAAAACAACAATTCAACGCTGTTATCAGTTAAATTTTTGTTGAATTTCGATTGCTGCACATTATTATTTTTTATAAAGGTGGCTTTGAGATGTGTTGATGTTTTAGCCTACTTTGCAGGGCAAGCCCATTTTGTGATATTTTTATTATTTATTTCTAGGGGTTTTAACGTTTCTTACTTGTTTTAGGGTAACGAATCGTCACTGCCCATGGAGTTATGCTCTAACTGTAAGTATTTCATTGGGGTTATTTTTTTCCTGCAAACAAAAAGTGATCTGTCAAAAAAAAATTGGCACACTGCTTTTTTTACAGGGGTTAGATGATTTAATTGAATTATGGGCAAATTTAAAAACACATCAATTTAACTAAATTTTAAATGTTTTTCCAGTCGATGCAGATGAAATACGCCGTCTTGGCAAGAGATTTAGGAAACTGGATTTGGACAATTCAGGTGCCTTAAGCATCGACGAGTTTATGTCATTGCCTGAATTGCAGCAAAACCCTTTAGTCCAGCGTGTAATTGACATTTTTGATGCTGATGGGAATGGAGAAGTAGACTTTAAAGGTAAGATTTTCTTAATTATAAATACTTACTGAAGTCAGTTTGGATAGGGCTCTATTAAGTGCTTCAATTTTAAGTCGGTGGTGTATACTTTAATAGTTTATTATGCATTTATAATTGATTTTTTAAAGTTGGTAATATATTTTTATTGACCCAAAAATCTTTAAATAATGTATTTTTTAGGGTTTAACATTATTTTTCTACTCCTACATTGACAAGCCACATAATTTTATCTACTCTTACATTTAATACACTAGTGTATTAGTGTTTGGATTAAGTAAAAAATAATTATACGCTAAAGAAGTATTGCTAGTAGCGCCACTACTTGGCTGTTATCATCATAACAAAAGTAGAACTTTTGATAATCAGCTGTGTAAACCGCGTGTGTTACAAACGAGTGGTTTTGAGAATAAAGCCGGAAAATGTTAAAAAATATCGAAAAAAAACCGCGGCACGATTTTTTGTGTTGGGTGTATTTTGAGGGGAAATCCTGGGTTAAGTTTTTATCGGTTTTCCAATAAACAGTGTTATCCGAATGAAGAAATAAATTTCATACAGTTCCTGTTAATATAAATTGTTTCTATTAGATGCAACTCCGGTTGAGGAGGATTCCGGATTGTACTTAGTTTTGGATCAGTTCAATGTCCTCCAAAAACCAACATTTACCCTCCTTCTCCAGCTCTTCACTAGCCCAAACTGGGCGTATGGCCCGACCCGGCGACAAAAATTCGGGAGTGGCCTTAACTATCGACATTGTCAATGAAAATTTGTCATCCACGATCTCCTAGGGTAGATCTACCAGCCGGCGTAAAAATGCGGATCCAACAAACACAGGTAATGCTGTGCAGTGTGGGATACGTAGGAGAACGGAAAGGTGGTAAAATAACCCTGGGAGATTAGTGTAAGGTGATATTGATGGGGCCTGCCATATGTCCCCATACTCATACTCACACTCATGTACAGTTCGTATGCTTTAAATGAATTGTTGACAATTCTTAAATTCACGCAATGCTTTTGTCCACCAGATGGTGCGCGCGTTGCGAAAACCCGATACTTCTTTAGCGTATAGTCGTCGCGGGGAATGTTTCAAATTGCGTCATCAATGTCGAAGGTCAAAAACCGATTTCTCGACATACGGTTTACCTAGCGGTTCCTTGGATTATATACGTAAAAGAAAGATTCAAGTGGTGAATAACCGGTTATTTGCGCAGTTTGGCCATATATTTTTTAACGAATCCACTGCCCATAGACATATTAGTTAATATGTTAATACCTGATTATTGTTATATCCTAAATTATTTGGTTATTTGCGCAGTGTGGCCATATATTTTTTAACGAATGAGCTATCCATAGACATATTAGTTAATATGCTAATACGTTCATGCTACTGCCAATGAGAAGAAATCTACTACACAGTAAAACCACCTCTGTAAGTTTACTACCCACAGAATGGCAAAAACGGGACACTGCGCTGTGCGCATTAAAAGTACAGGCGCGGACCAGAGGCTAGTAAATTTAAGGAGTGTATAAATATGGATAAATTTCCCAATACAATAAACATGAATTGCGGTTTATAGTATAAATTTTGGCTTTAAAGCCAACATTTCCATTAAAAAATGTTAAGGTTAAAAATAATCCTTTTTAAGATTGATACAATTAACATTATAATATATTACTTTTTTAAATAATATATTACGTCTTTAAAATATTAAAAGTAATGTAACATCTTCAATTTGGAACGTTGTTTTCTAAGAACTTACAAGATGCAGAACATACATGCATGCATGTGCAGGCCCGGCTCCAGGGTACGTGCAGCCGTGCCCCTGCACGGGGCGGCAAAAATCGAAGGGCGGCAAAAAGTTATTCAATACATGTATACAGCACGATATAGGATCTAAATCAGATATTTTTAATTTAATTTCAAGTTTGCTGAACAAAAAGCCAGAAGGCATTCCTTTTCTTAAAATTTTGTTTGTAAACAGATTTTTCTTATTTTTACTACTAGTCAGTTTAATAATGTTGGATAAAATAATTTTTAGTACAATATATTACTGTTTTTTAGAATGCGATGATATTTTATTTATTTGTTATTAAATAATATTTTTTTAAACTTTTTTGTTAATTTTATCTTCTCCCTAATGCAACAACTGGAGAACTCGAAATTTTACGAATCCAGTTCTACTATTACATACCAATTTTAGAATATTTTATTTATAAATGTGTTTTTCCAGATATAAAATTGAGCATCAAGGGGCGATATTATTTAGGTAGTTTTTTTTAGAAATTAAACCTAATTAATGGGCACTAACAAGTAGGTAACTATGAGGGGCGGCAAAAATATTTTTGCACAGGGTACCAAAATGTCTGGAGCCGGGCCTGTGCATGTGCATATAATACCAAAAACGCTGAAAAAAGTACTATTTCACATGCACGACTGCAATTTTATCACCTTGATAGCAATTTTACTATCTTGCCTATGATTTTTCACGCTAGTAAATTTGTGAAAGGCTAGTAAAGTTACAGTGAATAGTAAAATTATTGCGCAAACCTTTTGCCATTCTTTGTGCAGCGATATTACATAGCAAAAGTGTGGTGTACAGTAATATTACTATGCTGTGAGCAGTATTAATGTTTACTAGGCGCTATAGTAAATTTACAGAGGTAGTTTTTCTGTGTAACCTAGTTGGAAAAAGTCTAAAACACAGTTATTTTTATATTTTTAGTTACAAAAATCTGCGCATTTGATAGTAGAAGTTTGTTTACAATTCATAGAAATTCCTTACAAAAAATCGCATTAAATTTAAAATACTTCGCAGTATTGACAAAATTTGCCCACCAAATTGCACAAATTAGGTCTTGTTTTTTCACCACCAGCGGCGCTGATTGTCGATGCTGTTTTGGTAGTGTTTCGGTACAATTCAAACAATCAACGGAACACCAGCGCCCTCTTATCTTAGGAAGATTTTTTATACATGAAGTTAGGTAGGCTCCATGATTCGGTAGTCGCCGATTTTTTTCAAAAAGATCGATTTTTGGAATCGATTTAAATCGAAGCTCTAAAAATCGATTCCAAAATAAATCGCTGCCCCAATAATCGATGTTTCAAATAATCGATGTTTAACCCTTTCGGAGCCAAATTTAAATTACTGAAAAAAAAATTTTTTTTTCGTTATAGTTGCATTCATTGGTATTATTTTGAGATATTTTTGAAAAAAAAAATTTTTTTCATTATTTTTTTTCATAATAGGACATGTCCACTGGAATGGACAAAGTTACTTTAGAGAGGTCAAGTAATTATACGGTCATCTACTGTGTTTTATGTCTAGTCCGCTATAATGGACAACATGTTTTTGAGACAAAATATTTAATATTTAAAAATATAAATGGTGTTAAAAAAAATGTCCACTCCAGTGGACATTTCGTACGAAAGGGTTAATTAAAAAAATACATAATATGTATTAAGGGTAGCCTACGATTACATATGTAGCATTGAAAGAACGCGTGATGACGTTGTGTTTGTATTTTGCATATACGGTATAAAATTAAGGTATATGATATACCTAAAACTTATAGGTTATAGGTACTTTTTTGTAGTAGATTATATTTTTTGGAAGTGGTATAGTAAAATATAAATCTTAGAGGATTGATAGTGTATAAAGTGAAATTTAAAAAAATTAAACATCAAACTTCGATTATTTTAAAACGAAAAAATCGATGTGCAAAAAAATCGAGCATCAAAAAATCGATGTTTTAAAAAAAATTAATCGATTTTTTTGATAATCGATTAAAAATCGGCATCCCTAGTAGTCGATTATTAAAATAAATCGGTTATTCCCAACACTATAGTGTATTAACTTAAAACTATTCAGGTACTCTTTCCCAATTTAACGCACTAGTGCATTTAGGGTATTAATGTAAAAGTAAGGTAAACACCATGTACATATATGTCACAGTTAAAGTATACAAAAACTAGCTATTGTTAACATTTATGTGAAAAATTAGTAAAAGTGTAGGTACTTTTACTAGTAAATGCGTACATTTACTGTTGGTTGGTTTTGTGTGTTGGGATGGTTTGGTTGGTTAATTTTAGTTTATGTATGTTTGCTATCTACTAGTAAATATGTAAGTAAGTTCATGCGCTTCTGAATGCATTTACATATCAAAATCAGTTATTGTATACATTAGCTAGTCAGTGTATACATTTACGGAATTTACACATTTACTGAAACATATACAAATGGTTTCTCAAAATAAAAGGGCGCTGGTATTCTGTTTGTTGTTTGGTTTGTACTATGGTCCACACCCACAAGTCCCACCACGTGACTTTAATACAAATAATTAATGTTATCTTTCTAGACAGCTCGTCACCCTAATATAACAATTTAAGGTTGTACCTATGTTAAAAAACCGAAAAATTTGAGTTTATGCTTCTGCAAGGTTTTATGCAATCCACCCTTGACATACAACTTGAAAATAACTCCTTATATATATATATGTATACATAGAATATTCATTCTATAGAATTATTTTTAAGTGGTATGTGAAGCGTAGACTTACATTTTTCGTTTTTTTTTAAACATACATCCTTGGTATATTAGGGTGACGAGCTGTCAGTATCAAGATAATTTTGTTTTATGTTCTATATATTGCAATATAATATATTTTGTGACGCAATCCGAGAAAAGGGACCTATATAGTATCCAAAATCAAGTTTTACAGGAGAAGCGATTGAAGTTCACGTGGCATGGGCGTTAGTGTAGTAACTTAATTAAACAAGTAATAAATTAATAGCAATGTCAATTTTTTAGTTAAACAAATTTTATCTGGACCTTTAGAAAGATCGTTTACCACTCTACTTTAAATAATGATAATCTCAAAAACAAGTTTTGGACACTGGGTCCCTTTCCTCGTATCGCGTCACATGTTTTTTTTGTGTTTTAAATTAAGACCTTTATGCACAAAAATACATAATATATTATGTAGTATATTGCATTTATTTTAGAAAATAAGGCAAAATTGGTTTGACAATGACAGAAATACCTTAAATTTTGTATCAAAGTAGGAAACTTGGGAGTGGACCATAGTTAGTACTGAAACAGCAGAAGTCAGTACACAGTGGAAATCAGCGCCGCTATAGTGGTGAAAATTAACACGTAATTTGTGTGATTTAGTAGGCAGGTTCTGTCAATTCCCAGCATTAAGTTCATACCCACGGCGTGGTTTATACTCATTGTGTAGGCAGCCTACAGCATACATTAGGCTCCACGTTAAAACCGTTTGACTGATTTGTAAAAAGTGAGGTTAAAACCGCTTGACAGTGGTCGCATGTCAGAAAAAATGTCATATGAAATTGACTTTAAATTCTGAACTAATAATAGTATAATGTTCAACGATTAAGAAAGGTGGCCATTTCTTAAGAGTTGAACACCATACTATTTCTAATTTTATAAAAGGATTTAGTACAATTTTGTGTAATTACCATAACCACAGATTAAATGACAAATGTCAGTCAATTAATTTTTAAGAAAATAATGCATCATACACAATCCACATGTGGATTGTGGATACACTGTATAATTGTCATAGACTATCACTATGACTCATAGTAATGATAAATACGATAGGTAAACCACTTTAAAATCTTAGAGACCAACGTTCAATGTTAGTGGACGTTGTGTTGTGATTTTTTTCCTTATCAGTCGTTATCAATAAGGAAAACTTGCTTAATCAGTGCTTAGCGACGCGTTGCGCTTGACTACCCTTGTTATATAACAATATTGTTACCTTAGCCGTTAATTCGTAAGCGATTTTTATTTTTTTTAAATCAGTGGTTTACCCCTCGGATAAATACTACTGTAGAGAAAATCAAAATCTCGTCATCTCATGAATATGAAGTTAGCAAAGCATCCATCGCTAATCAAAAAGCGATTAGATGCATAATTTGCCGTTAATTTGTCGTTAATTAGTTGTGAAAAAATTAATTTTGTCGTTCGAATATTTCTTTGTTTTTACGGGGGCTTTGCTAACTTCATATGAAGTTAGCAAGGCACCCCCTTAAATATCTGATAAAAAAAAATTAATAGTTAATATTTTGCCGTTAATTTGTCGCTAATTAGTTGTGAATAAATTAATTTTGTCGTTCGCATATTTCTTTGTTTTTATGGGTGCTTTGTTAACTTCATATGAAGTTAACAAGGCAGCCCCCTTAAATTCGTGATAATATATTTTTTTAATTGTTAATATTTTGCCGTTATTTGTCGCTAATTAGTTGTGAATAAATTAATTTTGTCGTTTAATAATTTTATTTTTTGCTGCTTTGCTAACTTCATATGAAGTTAGCAAGGCAGATTCCCTTAAATATCTGATAAAAAAAAATTTAATAGTTAATATTTTGCTGTTAATTTGTCGCTAATTATTGTGAATAAATTAAATTTGTCGTTCGCATATTTCTTTGTTTTTATGGGTATTTTGTTAACTTCATATGAAGTTAGCAAGGCAGCCCTCTTAAATATGTGATAATATATTTTTTTAATTGTTAATATTTTGCCTTTAATTTGTCGCTAATTAGTTGTGAATAAATTAATTTTGTCGTTTGATATTTTTTTGTTTTTTCGGCTGCTTTGCTAACTTTATATGAAGTTAGCAAGGCAGACCCCCTTAAATATCTGATAAAAAAATTTAATAGTTAACATTTTGCCGTTAATTTGTCGCTAATTAGTTGTGAATAAATTAATTTTGTCGTTCGCATAAGTATTTCTTTGTTTTTATGGGTGCTTTATTAACTTCATATGAAGTTAGCAAGGCAGCCCCCTTAAATATGTAATAATATATTTTTTTAATTGTTAATATTTTGCCGTTAATTTGTCACTAATTAGTTGTGAATAAATTAATTTTGTCGTTTGATAATTTTTTTGTTTTTTTCGGCTGCTTTGCTAACTTCATATGAAGTTAGCAAGGCAGCCCCCCTTAAGTATCTAATAAAAAAAATTTAATAGCTAATATTTTGTAATAAGTGGAGCGGGTGCTTTGCAAAGCAGCCGAAAAAAAAAACAAAAAAAATAATCAAACGACAAAATTAATTTATTCACAACTAATTAGCGACAAATTACCGGAAAAATATTAACAATTAAAAAAATATATAATCACATATTTAAAGGGGCTGTCTTGCTAACTTCATATGAAGTTAACAAAATACCCATGAAAACAAAGAAATATGCGAACGACAAATTTAATTTATTCACAAATAATTAGCGACAAATTAACGGCAAAATGTTAACTATTAAATTTTTTTTATCAGATTTTTAACTTCATATGAAGTTAGCGAAGCAGCCGAAAAAAAAAAATAATCAAACGACAAAATTAATTTATTCACAACTAATTAGCGACAAATTAACGGCAAAATATTAACTATTAAAAAAAATATATTATCACGAATTTAAGGGGGCTGCGTTGCTAACTTCATATAAAGTTAACTAAGCACCCATAAAAACAAAGAAATATGCGAACGACAAAATTAATTTATTCACAACAAATTAGCGACAAATTAACGGCAAAATATTAACTATAAAATTTTTTTTATCAGATATTTAAGGAGGGTGCCTTGCTAACTTCATATGAAGTTAAGAAAGCACCCTTAAAAACAAAGAAATATTCGAACGACAAAATTAATTTTTTCACAACTAATTAACGACAAATTAACGGCAAATTATTCATCTAATCGATTTTTGATTAGCGATGGATGCTTTGCTAACTTCATATTCATCGTCATCTCATTGGGCAGTAACCCGTGAAGAAAGCGTTTAAGACTGAGCTACTTTCTCAATTTAAAACGTATAGGTAATGTACAAACTCTTTAATTTTATTATAAAAAGTATGGTAGGTATGTAATTCGTTTTATAAACTTCTTAATTTAATAAATTTCGCTCCGTTCATGCATAAATAAACCAGAGATTAATAACCCCTGAAATAAACTAGCAAAGCGCCTCGTATGCGATATTTTCAGTTTAGCACAAAAAGACTCGTTTCTCCTCCTAATGACATAATAAACAAGGTTTTAAAATTGTTAAAACACAAAAGCCTGTACGTTTTTTATACTTTATGGTTTAACAATTTTTAAGTTACCTACTTTATATTTGTTATGCTTTTGATATGAGTTATTAAAGCTATTAACATTGTTTCTCTTTCCGAGCATTTGGACCATGGAGCTATGGCTCCATGATTTGGACTTTCGAATGGACGTCAGAGACATCTGCAGTACGAAAATTGTGTCATGATTTTGATATTGCGCATGTCCCTGACGTCCATTTGACTGTCCAAATCCTAGATATGGTCCAAATGCTTGGTATTTTTGCGCAAAAATAGTTTATCGTTTAAAATAGGTTTGCCAAAATTTGACCTTTTTATTACAGAGTTTATACAGGGTGTCTCCCAATTCAGTGTTAAGGGCGACAAACTATCCAAACTCCGTTTTGCATTCAGAATCTATGACATGGATAACGATGGATATATATCCAATGGAGAGTTATTCCAGGTAAGTTAAAATTATTTCTTTTGTAAAAAATAACTTTTGGTTAACTTAGGTGTTAAAAATGATGGTGGGAAATAACTTGAAGGACACCCAGCTGCAGCAGATCGTTGACAAGACAATCTTGTTTGCTGACAAAGACGAGGACGGCAAAATCTCCTTCGAGGAGTTTTGCAATGTGGTTGGCAACACTGACATTCACAAAAAAATGGTTGTCGACGTATAGACCAGAATATAAGAATTTTAACGATATAATACGGCTTTTTTTCCGTGAAAAAGTTTGTATTGTATTTTAAAATTACCTTATCTAGCGTTTAGTTAGCATTGCCGATTTGGATGTGTATGTATTTAGATAACATGGCTTTTCACTTACTTATTATGCAATATTTATTTAGGTTTTTGTATCAATAGATTCAAATTTGATTGGACATCTCAAATAATTAACAACATTTGCTTGACTTTGAATTTATTGATGGAAAAATTCTTTTACTTAAAATTGTGATTGTTTGAATTAAATAACAAAGCTATTAACGCATGTGCTTTTTGGTCACTTGAAAGAAAAATTAAAATGTTTTATAAACCAAAAAAATTCGTGTATTATATGTATCTTTATTATATATTACTTTAATCTAGGTGTTGTGTATATGTCTAGGAAATAAGGTGTACTTCACTTAACATATTTAATATTTAAGTCTCAGCTTTAAGCTAAGTAATACTTATACTATATGCCTTTCACAACAAAATTATTAAATTAATTATTTGAATTAAAGTTTGGGAAAAAAGTATGACTATCAAACGATAGGAAGGTGCATTTTACTTTTTCCCTAAAACTTTGAGGACCATTTGTAATGCTTAAAATATTGAAAATTAAATAATAAATTAGGTCAAATCGGGAAACTTTAAGAGAAATAAAAACCCTTAAACGTTTTCCCTTATTTTACTGTGTTTTTTATACCTCTTCCATATTTAAAGCATTCATTTACTTGGGTATTTTTACTGCAAGATATTCATATAATTATATTTAAATAGTTATTTATATTTATATTAGCAGTAAAAAATATATGTCAACTCTATTATTATATTCTTAATCTATTATAAACAAAAAAATGGAAAGTTTCACTATCACTCTCCTAATTATTGTGTTATGTAAATAAATAGTTTTTGTTTTATGTTATGTTGATCAATAAAACTTAATCTTTATTTACTTTTTATTTTCATCCCTTAAAATTAAGTATTATCACAATTTAAACCATGTTTGACACTCATTGCCTTGAATTTTTACAGCTGTGACCTTTGAAACAACCTTAAACGCTCATTCGTATAATTTTCTTTGACAGCAAGGCATAAAATGCAATATTCCAAAAACCACTTCAGTGCATGCCAAAATAATCGATAGGGAGCTTAAAATGTACTCCAATTTTAGTACAGGGTCCTGGATGAAGAATGTGTAGAGTAATCCGCAAATTGACAACACTGTCAAAAACACCCCTGCCGCTGTTGCCAAGTCTAAAAAAAAGATCTGTCAAATTTTGTTTTGTTATTGACAAAAAACTTGGTATATTTCTGTTGTTATTAGAGATAAAATGTTAAAATTTGGATTGTATTTCGAAATTTTTTGTTTATTGTAGTCAAATGAAATATCTTTGAAACTCAAGTTATATATAAAGGGGTAAGAAGCAAGTGCATTTTAGCATGTATAAGTTAAGTGCAGAATTGGGCAGTGGCGGTTGGTGGATTTTGGACACACCTATATCTCAGTTATTAGGCATGGGACCCACATCAAATTTATATGAGTTAATAATGACACTATATAGACAAGTTCTGCGCAAGCAGAAGAATTACAGGTTTTATACCATTTTAAATTTTTATTATTTCTTTTACTAAATTTAAAAAAAATAGAAATGGTATAAAATCTGTAATACTCGAATTTTTTTAATAAAATTTGAAATTTGTCGATAAACTTCAGTGAATTAAATATTGTACCACTTTAATTTGAATTATCTTAATTTGGGGGGCACACTTAAAAACCTAATTTTTTTCGCAAACTTCAATTTAAATTCTGAAAAATTCAGAACTTGTCTATATAGTGTCATTATAAACTCATATAAATTTGATGTGGGTCCTATGTCTAATAACTGAGATATGGGTGTGCCCAAAATTCACCAGAGGCCACTGAGTGCAGAATTGGGTAGTTTAAAGTCAACATTTTTCATGTTGATTAATGCACACATTTAAATAAGTACCCAGGTTTTTGTATATAGTAAAAACTTAAGTTAATAACTACACTTCTCTTTTTTGCATTTGTACCATTTTGCTTCTTACCTCTTCATATATAAAATACATTGTTAAAATTTGGAATGTAATTAAGGAAAACATCATATATTGTCAAAATTTCATAACTATATCTTTTATACATTGTGAGATATTTAAACTTTTATACACACTTCTTCTTTCATCTTTTAATTTCTTAAAAAGCACGATTTTCAGTAATTCCACAAAAAGTCTAGCAAAAACCACGATAGCGTCTTGTCCTATTTTCGGAGTATCCCTAGAACTTCTGTACTTTGCAATCGCCATTATACTTTCGCATGATGCAAAAACTGGATAATAAAAGGTGTTCAAATAAATTAAACATTCAAACATCAATTCGGCGTCATACTTCATTTTTTCACACCTTATTTTAAACTAAAGCTGATGTAGTTTGTTGGCTTTGAGAGGCTAGGTATTTATAAATATCCGTATATAATTATTTTTAGATTGTATATTACTACATTTCTTTGATGTTATCCAATGAATTTTACACATTGGAAGTATTAATAATACTGTATTATGGATAATTAATATTGCAATATTTTACTTTTTATTACTAGGTAAATAATTATTTTATTATTATTAGGTAGTTAAAATTTACGTTTTTTGTATTTTAATAGGGTTTTTAAATTATCGCAATTTTAACTTTATAGAGTTGGTAGTGCCTGCTTGTACTATCAAAATTTGTAGAAGTTTAAATAATTTGACACTTCTTAAACTGTCAAAGTTTGACTTTTAAATTAAGCATTACAAATTGTGTATACAGTTATACTGGAACTAAAGGAACACAGAACATAAGTAAAGGAAATAATGTAAGTAACAGTTTTTAACTTTTATAGAAATACCAACCTAATTATAACGAATAAAATCGAACTAAAAATAAATTTCTAAATTGTTTTTCACTAAAAAAACGAAACTGTTTAACGTTTTATTAATTAAAATAACAATGTTTTATCAAAACCGTAAAATAGTGGAGTCAAAATTCTAATTTAAACTTGGCACTTAAAGATAAGTGATCAGAGCCATTATCCCTATCAGGGATATTGGTATTATTAAGTTGCAAGCTTGTAGGCAACGTCATCCTCTCTAGCAGTTTAATATTGTCTTCAACTACATCACAATCGGATCTCTTTCCGCTAAAACAAGAAAAAACGTCATTATTTGCAACGTTTGTTTAGTACGAGTATAGTGCTGTATAATACCCACCTGTAAAAAATATAATCCACCGTGACCCACTTGTTTTGATGGGTGGTTCCCTCATTGTCACCATCAACATTGAAATGTTTGTAGACAGATTTTAAGGGGAAATTGTGTGATATTTCGTTAATACTTTCAATATCAGCACTACTTTGGCAGGTTAATAGGGGATTTGAGTTGTATTCAGTGTTTCTTAGATTTATAAATGACATTTTTTCTTCCCCAGTCAGATTATTTAAAAGTTGTAAATTTGCATGTTGGGAGTTTTTGGTAATACCTAGTGATTTTGGTAATAAACCTTTTGTTTGGCTAGAAAAACATTCCTTTAAGTCCAATTGTCCCTGGGTTACAAATCCATACACTGAAGAGTTAGGAAGAGAGTTAAAATCACCAGTTATTATGATCGGTACATACACAGGTTTACAACTGAAAAAATATACATTAGAAAAAATACACCTAATAAAATAAATGATTTTATTACTCTTCAAATCTCTTAAATGCAACCCTGTCGATTTCAGCCAATAACAATTGAACTTGCGCCAATCTGACGTCGTCTCTTTTGGGGTTGTACAGTAAATGCGTAGTTGCCACTACGAATTCTTCGCCAGGGTGAGAGCGTGGTTCAAATTTGGCAACAATGCCTACGTTTTCTCGGTTTAGTGGGGGAATTTCGGACTGTTTGTATTCGACTTTTAAATGTTCTTTTAGAGATAGTTTGGAGGTTTTGTAGTAGATCGCGCAACCGTCGGTGTAGTGATTAGTGCGTTTTTTAAAGATGTAATCATAACCTAAGAGATGTGTTATGAAAAATGTTATTTGAATTTTGTTTTTTACCTAATAATTTTAATCTATCATAATAGCTTGGTATGTGGGATTCTTGAACTTCTTGCAAACATAAAATCTAAAAAAATATGTAATAGTATTTTATAAACACCCTCTGTATTAGTTACACTTACATGTGGATTGGTTTCCTCAATTTCGCTTATTAAATTTTCCCATCGAAGTTGCCATTTTAAAAACCGTTTAGAATGTTTTTTGTACAAATAAATATGCCTATCTATTAAATCTTGAGCTAATACATTATAAGACATTAGAGTAAAACAAAACTCATTTTTATTTTGACAATCTTTAGAGGATTTAGCGTCTTCCCAAACTCTAATTGACTGTATATTGCCATTTTCTAAAAAAATAATTTTCAAGGTATACTAACAAAATTACGACTTGAAAATATAACCAAAAGAAAGCGCAGTTTAACTAATAGTACCTACCCTATGGGGCGCCGTTTTATTTTTTATTAGGAATTAATTTTAACACTAGAGTGATATTTTCTATTAGATAAAAAATATCACAAAAGAATTTTTATTTTTCGAATTTATATTATCATAGCAGATATTTTAAAATTAGATTTAATTTTTATACCAAACTGATATTTTTAATTTAGTGAATTTAAAATATCTGTTTCGTATATTTGTATTTTTTTGCTAAACACATTTTTAATTCGTTAAATGTATTATAAATATCATAGGAGATATTTTTAATTCGATTTAATTTTTATTTTATCAAATAAGCAGATATTTTTTATTCCATCTAATTGAGAGTTTTGATACCCCTGTTTTATCAAACGCCACAAAAACCGACCCACTCCAACAACAAACTAACGTGCTTCATAGATCCCAGTGATTGTGCCGCCATCTAGTGACAGAATTGGTTTGGAATACCAGGGATGTTTCAATTTGAATTAAAAATATCAAAATATCTTATTTAATAAAATAAAAATAAAAATAAAATCAAAATAACTGCTGTTCAAAAGTTAGGGATATTTCAAAATAAACATGTACGCATATATTTTTTTTTATTATTGATATATGTACTTACTGGGGATCCATTTCAAAGTAAAATAAACCAAAAATCACTTGAAAAAGTTTTAACAATAAAGAACAAAAAACATTTTCTCCAACACTGTTTTTCAAGAAAACGACAAATAGTTTAATTAATATAGCGTATGTCCTCCTCTCGCATCAATGACGGCTTGGCACCTTCGTGGCATGCTTTCCACTAAGTCGTTGATGCGATCTTGGTCAATTTCGTTCCAAAGTTGGGGTAAGAGTTCCCGTAGCTGTTGCATTGTTACCGGATGGGGCTGATGGTTTTCCAAAGCCCTTTGCAGAGCGTCCCAAGCGTGCTCTATTGGATTAAGATCCGGCGATCGTGGGGGTAGTGCTAAATGGGGTATACCATGCAATTCTCTGGCTTCTTCCACGATTGCTGCCCTGTGCGGACGCGCGTTATCGTCCAGAAAAAGAAAATTAGGACCAATAGCAGCATGGAAATTGGGAATCACGTTGTTGATAATGCGTTCCATGTATATTTGACCTGTCATATTCCCAGGGAAAACCAGAAGCTGCGTGCGACCTTTAAAACATATACCACCCCACACCAGAACGGTCCCACCTTTAAATGGGTAAACTTCTTGGACTGGACGGCGATTTCTGGGTATTAAAGGAAGTGTCCACACTCGAAATCGACGACTATCCGAATACCGTCCATATCGCGATTCATCCGTAAACAATACAGATCGCCATTCCTGGTTCCAATGAAGCATATCAGTTGCCCACTGTAATCTTGCACGTTTATCATCTGCAGTTAATGGAACCCTTCTTAAAAGACGTCTGGATCTTAGATTAATGTCAAGTAAGCGCCGTCGCACTGTAGATACAGAAACTCTGGTGTCGGTGGCATCCTGAAGTCGTTCACGCAACATTCTGCACGTGCTAGGGGGAGCTCTACGTGCAGAAACGGTAACGAATCGGTCTTCCCGTTGTGTAGTACGGCGAGGTCTCCACTTCGAGGTCTTTCAGACACACTTCCAGTTTCTTGATGTCGATTTGCCAGCCGAGAAATTACGCTTTGGGACACGTTGAGAAAATTAGCGACATCGACTTGTCGCTGACCTGCAATTAGCATTCCAATGGCCTTATTACTGTTTGCAGCACCTAATTTGTTTCGAGGCATAATTAAGACACAATAAGTTGCGATACAGAACACTGAATGCAAGTTTATTGAAATGCATCGCCAGGTACGATATTGGTATCGGTCAAGAACAACAAAAAAACCATGTTTTTGTAATAAACAAGTGCGCAAAAACTTAAACAATTTGTTACTTCGACAGTTATGAATTGTTTACAGGCAAAAAAATTTCAAACGAAACGATTACTTTTAAATCCCGGCTATATCCCTAACTTTTGAACAGCAGTTTATCTCCTATGATATTTCTCCTATCGAATTAAACATATGTGTTTAACTAAAAAATACAAATATATGAAGCAGATATTTTTAATTCGCAGAATAAAAATTCTTATGTGATATTTTTTATCTAATTGAAAATATCACTTTAGTGTTAGAATAATAAAGTATAATTCCTCAATAAAAAATAAAACGGCGCCCTATACTACCCTAAAAATGCCATAAAAATAATTAAAATTTTGTCACACAGCCTTTTAACTTATTTTGAAATGTTTATATCTTTTACAATTATTGTACAATAATAATAAATTTATTTATTATTTATTTATTTATTTATGTATTTATAAACTTTATTGCAATTTTTTTTTTCAATTGGCCATTGACCGAGGTTAAATTAATTGATTACTGTAAATATGTCCTTAATTGTAAAAGATATTCCCATAGTCTTTTCTGGAGCGCGTTCTAAAACTCGGACGCACGCGCAAGTGCACTCTGGATACAAGTTTCCCTCGCGCAATGGATTTTCCTGGTATATACAGATACACCTAGATATAGCATTGTATCTAGGTACATTGGTAACCTATTTGTTTGCGACTCACCCCTGTAAAATCTTTATTTATTGTGCGATTTTAACCGGATTTGTTTTAAAGTGTAGATCTTGATAAACTGTATTTTTGGAGCAAAAAACGCCATAACAACATACAAAATACAAGGCATAATATGTCAGTTTTTAAGAGTACATTTTTAAGAATTCATATTAGCGATTTTTTTAAACAAAATCTAAGCACGGCACTGGATTCACCACTCCTCAAAACGACCCTATACTAAAGTTTATTAAAAAATTTTAAGTAGAAAAATGCACAATAATAACTACAAAAATTTATTCTGTCAAGTTATCCATGAAAAAAACATTGAAATAAAATTAAACTAATAGTAACATGGTACTATTACCAGAGACAAGTCTCTGCTATTACTAATAGTTTAATTTTATTTCAATGTTTTTTTCATAGATAACTTGACAGAATAAATTTTTGTACTTAATATTGTGCATTTTCCTAATAAAATTTAGTATAAGGTCGTTTTGAGGGGTGGTGAATCCAGTGCCGAGCTTAGATTTTGTTTAAAAAAATCGCTATTATGAATTCTTAAAAATTTACTCTTAAAAACTGACATAGTAGGCCTTGTATTTTGTACAAATATGGCATTTTTTGCTCCACATATACAGTTTATCAAGATCTACATTTTAAAACAAACTCGGTTAAAATCGCACAATAAATAAAGATTTTACAGGGGTGAGTCGCAAACAAATGGGTCACACTGTATATACGACTGTCAAGTTTTTTTCTAGTAGAGATGATTTAAAATACTATGAACATGTATTTTGGAACAGGTATCTGTCACACGTAACGATTTCAGAAAATACTAGGTCCACCTAATAATTAGAAAATAATGTGGGTAGTCAAGGGGGCAGTTGCCACCCCCCCCTGGAAGGCCTGGAATAAAATATTATTGGCATGGACACTACTGAATTGCCATCTAATTCAATTATTCGTCGAAAATCAATAATTAAAAATAATGTTGTAGGAACCCGGACAACATTCGTGATATTCATACGAACATCATGTCGTGATTTTCACAAATTTTATTCATGCTGATATCATACGGACGTCACCGCGTGATAAATGAAAATCACACGAACGTCACGTCGTGATTTTCACAAATTTTATTCATACGGACATCATCCGGATGTCACTGCGTGAGAAACGAAAATCATGTCGTGATTTTTTATGCCATCTCTGTTTGGGATTGACCGATAGCACAAAAAATCATGTCGTGATTTTTTATGCCAACGGTGTTTGGATAATCATTTTTGCGCTACGTTCGTAGACTAAGAGAAAAATTATGTTGAATCAACAGTGTTTGCGGTTAAATACATTCAATATTTTCTTGGATTTAAATTAACTATATACAAGGTGTCCCTAAACTTAGTGGCATAAATTTAGGAGCAGATTAAGCAAGTCAAAATAAGACGAAAATCTAAATAAATATTTTTCCTAATTACGTATGTTTAAAAGATACAGGGTGATAAAGTGTTACTTATCATATCAGTTTTTTTAATATAACTTCTACTATGGTAGACTTGGAAAGATGATATTTTGCGAACAGTCACTTACTACCAAAACACATATTCACACATAATTACAATTGTTTGAGTGAACACAGTGTCGTAGAAACAGGGGTTGCTTAATCTTATTTTCTCATACAAACTTTGAGGTTAGGTTTTTATACCATTTGATGCAATTTTTCGATTACTCAGTTCGGCTACTATTAAAAAGGTGTACCTCTAAAACTTCGATAAAATTAACCGTTCTCGAGATATTCGAGATTACAATAATTGTTATATCGCATTAAAGGACTAAAAGTTATATGATAAAAAAAAAATTAATTGAAAAAACTACATTTTTTTTAATGTGACGGTCAGGGCAAAAAGTCCCGAGGCTCATGGAATGCCTTTTTTAGTTTTTTCAATTAAAAAATAAAATTTGTTATCATATACCTTTTAATCCTTTTAAATAATGCGGTAAAACAATAATTGTAATCTCAAATATCTCGGAAACGGTTTATTTTATCGAAGTTTGAGAGGTACACCTTTTTAATGGTAGCCGAACTGTTTAATCGATAAATTGCATCAAATGTTACAAAAACCTAACCTCAAAGTTTGTATGGGACAATAAGCTTAAAGCAACCCCCGTTTCTACGACACTGTGTTCACTCAAACAATTGTAATTATGTGTGCATATGTGTTTTGGTAGTAAGTGACTGTTCGCAAAATATCACCTTTCCAAGTCTAACATAGTAGAAGTTATATTAAAAAAACTGATATGATAAGTAACACTTTATCACCCTGTAACTTTTAAACATACGTAATAAGGAAAAATATTTATTTAGATTTTCGTCTTATTTTGACTTGCTTAATCTACTCCTAAATTTATGCCACTAAGTTTAGGGACACCTTGTATAGTTAATTTATATCCAAGAAAATATTGAATGTTAAACTGTTGATTCAATTGTTAACATACTTTTTTTTTCAATGTACGAATGTGTCGCAAAAATGAAGATCCAAACACCAATGGCATAAAAAATCATGTCGTGAGTTTTTAGGACCAAACACCACATACTTAGAGAAGTATGTGCCAAACACCGATGGCATAAAAAATCATGTCGTGATTTTTTATGCCATCGGTGTTTGGATATTTATTTTTGCGCCACATTCGTACATTGAGAGAAAAAGTATACCTACATATATATTGAATCAACTGTTTTTGTGGTTAAATACATTCAATATTTTTTTGTATTAAAATTATTAGTTAATTTACATCCAAGAAAATATTAAATGTATTTGACCGCAAAAACTGGTAATTCAATTGTTAACATACTTTTTCTTTCAATGTACGAATGTGGCGCAAAAATAAATATCCAAACATGTCGGTGCACCAATGGCATAAACAATCATGTCGTGATTTTTTAGGCCATCGGTCAATCTCAAACAGTGATGGCATAAAAAATCACGAAATGATTTTCATTTCTCACGCAGTGACATCCGGATGATGTCTGTATGAATAAAATTTGTGAAAATCACGACGTGACGTTCGTATGATTTTTATTTATCACGCTATGACTTCCGTATAATATCAGTATGAATACAATTTGTGAAAATCACGACATGATGTTTGTATGAATATCAAGAATGTTGTCCGGGTTCAATTAAAAAAGATATTCCAATGTTTAAGAAAACGTTCACGTTTTGTTAAACATTGGAATATCTTTTTTAATTGAACCCGGACAACATTTGTGATATTCAAACGATTTATAAATTATAACGGTGTATACACCCTGCGAACTGCGAATTTAAAACCTAGTTTGTTATTCACATTATAATGTGAATAACAAACTAGGTTTTAAATTCGCAGTTCGCAGGGCTCATACGCATGCGCAAATTTTGCAAATATCACACCGTGAGTTCTACATGATATCACTGTGATGAAGCATATGCATATGCACTCAGGATATCACAGCGTGATTAAAAAAATTACGTTGTGATATCATCATGGCTTCACCAGGAAATCCCGATTGTTGTCCGGGAAGCTTAGCTTTTTTTACGATTACTTGTTTTCTTGAGATTCAGGAGTGATTTAAGTCCGGATTCTTTTGCCTCCCATGCTGAAAATTCTGGCTATGCCCATGAGGTCAACGTATCATTTTGGAAAAAACTAGGTGCTAGTATTTTTTGAAAATACTAGGTCCACCTAGTGGGAAGCAGTATTTTTAGGAACATATATTTGCGAAATTCATGTAGTCACCAATTGGAGACCATTAATGGTCACCGCACTTGGCGGTAATGGTATATTATATTATTAAACACTTTATTTATGAAATTTTAATTGTTTAAACTAACCAATGAATCATCTTAATACATTTGACAGACAGTCTATCACATACTGCTCTGGGAAACCAACAACATAAAATTTGTATCATCTCCAATTAGATATATGTTTTTTGTATAGATCTATAATAGATTGGAATAATTCCAATTGAATGATCTTTATTATTTGTAATATAATTTTTAACCAAAACTAAATAGAATCAATTGAAAACAAGACTGTAGAAGTTATAAAGTTTTAAAAAGTTTGATATGCATATCAAACTTGTTGAGCGCCAAACATTTTTATGTTAAAATAGCAACTTATGAACGCAATATTTTCTGAATGGGTGATTTTACTTAATCATACATTCTACCTTTTATGTAGAGAATTTAATAATCTAAAGTTGTTGTTATATGATATATGACCTCCAACCAATGAAAATCAAGATATTTTTGAAAAGACTAATTATTAAAATGATAATAACAATCAAACATATTCTACTTACTTTTTTTGGTCTTTTTGGTAACCAAATCACTATCAGAATGTTCCCTATGCAGTGTATGTGTACTATAATATCGACTGGACATAGAAGTATCAGAATAACTTGTTGACATACTATCCGGAACCACATTATAATAGAAGTAACTTCCGGGGATTCCCTGATCATTAGATGTGTAATTATAGTTAGGATTCATATAATTATAACCTGGATAACCTCCAGGATGGTACATACTGGGCCTAATAGGTATGTTCCATGGTGTATGGTAATTTCCTGGTGTATTATACTGTAAATTATGTCCAAAAGGGTTACTTTCAACCCAGCACTGATTAGGTGTTAATTGCTGAGGAACATCCCATGTTACTTGTATACTCCGATTACTTAATGTACTGCCAGAATTGGAACAAACCAATGGATTTTTATTGTCTTTTTCACCTTGTTGTGCCATTATTTGCAGTAATTTCAACACGTTAACATTCACAGGCTTTATTGTTATGACGTTTTTTGGTTTCAGTAGATTTTTTGTTGCTATCATTTAAAAATGTGTTTTTTATCCAACCTGGTTTCATTCTTATATTTTCTTTATGTGGTGATTAAATGGTTAGTTTTTACAGTTATAGTCCATTTAATAACAATTAATTTATTAAACACTAATAAACAGCTGACATAATAGATTAAACTATTTATGTGAGGTTAGCTTAATTTTGACACCTACGTCAAAGTTCTAACCTTACAAAATGTTCTGTGACAAAATTGTCATGTCAAATTAATAATCTTGATAAAAAATGCATAAATAAGACTGACGAGCTTTATTTACAGAAACATACTTAATAACTATTGATAATTAATACATTTACACTATTTTTCAAGGGTTTCTTTCTCTAATAAAGAAGATTTAATGCCAACTTTTTTCAACTCTTCAATAAGGTCTCCGGATTGGTGCATTTGCAACAAAATATCGCACCCTCCTACAAATTCGCCGTTAATATACACCTGGGGAATCGTTGGCCAATTAGAGAAGTCCTTAACACCTAAAAATAACCTAAAAATAATAAAACTTATTTTTTTTTTTATTAAAACTTACCCTGTCTTAAACTATCGTCCTTCAAGACATTGTGGGCGTCATATTTAACCCCGTGCATACGTAAAATCTGCACTACAGCGTTGCTGAACCCACATTGGGGCTGTTCAGGCACCCCCTTCATAAAAACCACAACTTTATTATTCTGCACCAATTTCTCGATTTCTTTGTTCGCTTGCGTACTAAATAACTGAGTTAACCGGGCCCCATTCTTAACTAATTGATTAGAATTGCGGAAAAAATTCATTTTCGTTGAAGTTTTTGAATTATGTTGGTAGCAGTTGGGGATTTTTTGTCATTGATATTCTTTGATCATTTTGTTAGGTTGGCAGTGTTTTGCAAATGGTGTCTAAAATTATTGACATGTCGGCATATTACTTTTGTATGGCATAAATATACGCTATTTTCAGGTTTTAAGGGAGTTTTGAGTGAGTTAATTAATTAATAACTAAAATTAATTGGTTAATGTGCTGGTGTAGTGCTTGATAGTTTATTTTGTTCTAGGTTTTTGAAGAATCCTGAGGTACAAACTTTTTGATTTTTTTAACCCTTATAAGCTTTATTTACTGTTTGTTTTTGATTTAATTAGTGTTATATGTTTATACAGGGTGTAAACATAGTTTTCTATACCTATTTGTTTATTGGTTTTTTGATATACAGCTTTAATTTGCATTAATACCATTGTGGTCTTTTATACATTATTTAATCAATATTTATGCATTATTTTCTATTTAAACTGTTTAGTTACGTGACAATTCAAATAATTCACATTACTTAAAGAAATTATATGGATTGATGTTTCAATTAACAGTAACATTAAACAATATACACTGTTTTAGGATGTCTTGGCAAAGCTGGCAGATGCCTCAGGCTCTAAGTTCGAGTGTGGTGCCAGGGGTTATGAATCCGGCCCCTCCAGTTGTTAATCCAGCCCTGCCCGTTTTGCAAGGGCAAGTGGCTCCGGCGATGCCAGCTAATATGCAATACAGCCCTGAACAATGGGCCCAGATGCAGCAGCAAAACTGGCAACAGTGGGCCCAGTGGCAGCAGCAATATCAGCAGTGGCATCAGCAGTACGGTGCAGAGGTAAATTTTTTGTTTTTTCAATTGTGTCTTATGTTACCCCTCTTTAATCTTATTTAGATTTAAGGCATATTCATGCTCACTTAAAATAAGAAATAAGATAAAAAGTTAAAACTGTGTATAGTAATGGTTGCATTCATGTTCATGAAAATAAGAAATAAGACTAAAGATAAATAACTTTTTACTTTGATTCTTATTTTTGCCTATAAAACTGTGCAAAAGGACAAAAGAGGTCTGTGAATTGGTTTTATGAGTTTTATGTTTTGACCATGGAGCCATGGTGTTGGCGATCGCGTTGAGTGTCGCTGTCGATTGTTTAGCCAATACATAACCCTCTATAATCAAAAATATAATTGTATTTTGTGTTACTGACAAATTGACGTGACGTGACATATCAACATATGATAATGCAACTGTTGCAGACTGCAACTTGCAGTTGAAGTTATCTGTATTTTAGTTGATATTTCATTTCATTTTCATCAATAAAAACTTATATACAGATAACTGCCGTCATTACACCCAAAGAACACTTTGATTACACCTCCCACAAATAAATGGTGATAACATTTTTTATTTCTAATGTTATCAGCAAGAACAATCAATCGCGACCTTATTTTTTATTTCTTATTCCTTAATCCATTAATTACGTGAGGCAATTTCGGCGATTTTTCGACCCCCCCGGCCCTTGGTGAGATCCCGTGAGATTTTGCTCGACCCCCTTCCCCTCCCTTAATCTCACGTGAGATTTTTTATAATTCATGGTTTTAATGTAAATAAGTTAATCTGTGCTTGATTCCATTAGATTTATTAAAAAGTTTTCTCGCAATTTTACACTGTTTCATTCAGAAAAAAATTACGTGATATTTACCGAGACCACCCTCCCACACGTGAGATTGGGTGAGGTTTGGCTCGACCCCCTCCCCCCCTAAACACCTCACGTAATTAATGGATGCCCCCTTTCTTATTTCTTATTTTAAGTGAGCATGAATATGCCTTTAGTCTAATTATATGTACTTCACACTTTTTGTCAAAGGTTTTTAATGTCAAAAGATTTATATAATTTTTTTTCTAATGCACTCATTAATCCAAGGATATGCTATTATTTTTGCAATTTTCTTATTTTTTGTGTCCCTAAAAATTTATTTTTACAAGGATTTGTTTGCCGTTTTATAGTTTTTTAAAATTTACATTAATAATGGGAAATAATTTATTTCCCATTTATTAAAATGTATCGTTTTTCCTCAATTTTTTTATTTATTTATGCCAATTGTTTTGATATAACAAAAGATTATAAAGGGTGTCGAATTTTATCCAAACATTTTAAGGGGGTGATTCTACCGCGCAAAATATGAAAAAATTCCTAAGAACCCCTTGTCAAAAATGCTCTTTGAAGATGGCACTTAACTTCATAATGCAGAATCAACATTTCAGAAACCCTGTATAAGCATTGAGTAAAGACACACTTTACTCAATGGTATAAGTAAAGGGGTTTAAAAAAATTTATCCTAGATTTTTAACAATAGTTATATTTTTTTAGTAATTTCGGGTTTCATTCATTCCACGTTACTCGGCAATTTTTGTAGCGCCCGTTATATTCAAAGATTGTAAGTAAATACAATCGCAGTAGTTACCATTGCAAACATCTTTATTATGCTTGCAATAATTTAGCTTAAGCTTATAAACAAAATAATAACAGTAATTTTTACTCACATTTTTTGATTTGGTTTAAGGATTACCTGTCCCATAGGAAACAGTTTGTCCAGCTAGGTAAAAAAAAGAGTGAATTGGCAACGGTCACATGCGGTGTTCCCCAAGGTTATATTTTGGGTCCGACCCTCTTTCTTGTATATGTAAATTCGCTGGTCAGTCTGGGTGTTGTGGGACAGGTGATGCTCTATGCAGATGATACCACTTTGGTGTATTCTTCGGACTCTGTCGAGGATATAAGACGATCTATTGAACATGACTTAAACCTTTTAACAAAGTGGCTTGCAACTCACAAGTTAACCCTAAATGTGGATAAATCGTCGTATATGTGGATATATAGGTGTAATCATTTTGTTGGAAACGTAGAGCCTATAAATTTCTTAAATCATTCTAATAAAACAAAATTTCTGAGGTTAATTATAGATAGCCAACTGTCCTGGAACCACCATACAGAAAACTTACAAAAAAAACTAGTTGGACCAGTAAGCATATTAAGCACTGTGCCTGATATATATCTGAGGTCTGTCTATTATTCTCTCATTCATTCACATCTCCAATACTTAAACCTAATATGGATGTCAACATAAAAAAAATAAAATCAATACAAACTTTACAAAATAAAGCTATTAAAAACCTCTACTCTTTAAATAGCCGATATCCAACCAATGAGTTGTATGTTAGATTTAAGATTAGCTCATTAACAAATATTTATATGTATCGAGTTAACCTATTTATACACCAAGTAAAAAATAAAACCAGACTTTCAAACCTAAACTTTAATTTTAGAAATTCAATTCACAACTACAACACTAGAAATGAGGGAAAAATAGACATACCTCTTTGCAAATCTCGCTACGGTCTCAGCTCAATCTATTACAAGGGTGTAAAAAACTATAACTGTTTACCAACTGAGCTGGTAAACCAACAAGGACTGGCTTTTAAACGAGAGTTAAGAAATTTTTTGGGCTTTTTGTGATATATTATTTTTTTCTAGTCTATTTTCTGTTTTTTTTTTGTGTTTCAACTAAATTGATGTACCTGAATATTATAATTTTAATTATCTGTGATCTGTATTGTTCTATATATATACACTTGTAAAACTCATGTACCTGAATATTTTTATTTTTATATACTTGTATAACTCTAAGGGGATATCCATCTATAAACTTGTAGTTTCTGGGGATGTAAATAAAGAATTTGAAAATTTTAATTTGATTATTACGGAGGATACAAAAATTGCCGAGTAGGAAAGTTGAAGCAAAACTTAAGTTTGAAGTTTTTTTTTTAATATATTGATAAAAATTAAATAATGTAATAAAAGTAAAAAATGTACAAATCTTGAAACTTCATCTTCCCCTGTTTAGTCTAAGGCCCTCATTGCAAAAATTTTTTCAGTACCAAAAGTCTATGGGCGGATTACCGGTGCAACCGCCCCTGCCGGCGGCGGTACCTGCCATGGATGCCGCCCCACCACCGCTCCCTGCCGAACCAAAACCTCCTCTGCCCCCAGAAGACCCCCCTGCAGCGTTTAACGCATCTGCGGCGCCATCTTACAACACACCGGCGCCTCCGCCATCCTACAACACAATGACGCAGCAACCGCCCCCAAAAAACGCCGGTTACACCACAGCGCCGCCAAGCGGTAACAATTGGAATCAAAACAACAAAAGAACGTTTAATACTCCTGGTAATTTCGATAACAAACGGCAGATGACGGAGAAGTGGGGTAATCAGTGGGGTAATAACAGACCCGATATGACTCAGGCGCCGCCTAACTTCCAAAACAAACCGCCGAGTTTCAATCAACCGCCACCGAGTGTAGCGGCCCCGAAACAGAACCCCGAGGAACTTTCTGAGGCGGAGAAGAAGTTCGATAAAGAGTTCGCGGCGTGGGAGGCACAGTTTAACAAGTGGAAGGAACAGAACGTGAATCACCCGGATAAAAATCAGTACAGGGAGTACGAGAAGAAGTGGGAGTCGTGGAGAAATTCTTTATTGGAGAGACGCGAGCAAATGAGGCGTAAAAGACTTGGTTTGACTGTTAATAAACCACCCCCGAAAGTAACTCATGATAATTATACCGCCCCACCACCCGATATGAATTTAAACCAAACACAAGACCCAAAATTTAATAAACCTCCACCACAACTAAACAATGAACCACTAAAATTCAAAAACCCACCACAAACTAGCTACCCTGAGATTGATGACACAGCAGGTGACGATTTTCTAAAATCCAACACATCAGGCGGAATACCGGGTCTAGATTTAGTCAAAGACGACGATCCAGAATCCTTCAAGAAAAAAGACGACATTATAGAACTCGATAGAGAAGAAAAACGTTTAGAAAACCTCACAAAAAATAAAGGGCCCGACTTTGAAGCGATCTCCAAGGGTATCAACACGATTTTAGGCGATCAAAAAATCCTCAACATGTTAAATATTGTTTCTCAACCCCCAACAACAATACCAAATACCCCACTCATCACAACTTTAAACCACATCTCGCCCCAGGAAGCCTCAACTTCCTATCAAGAACATTCAAGCCAAGGTTTTGAGGAAACCTCGCAGGGTAACGATTTTTACCCCAACAATACAAGAGAAGGTGTCAACAATTTCGACGACCAAACGCGCAGCAGTTTCACTATGGGCCCCAACGATCAAGACATGCGTTTTGATAGAAGACCTCCACCAATATCTGATAACAACTTCAATAGAAACCCTGACAATACCTTCAATAGAAATCAGAATAAAATACCGTCATTGATGTCTGTTAAAACCAACCAGCAGGGAAACAACAGTTTCACTGGTAGCTTTAACAACAGAAACTTGGATACTCCTGCCAACTTTAACAGAAACTCCGAGAACTTTGCTGGAAGAAACGCGGATAATTACAGTGCTAGAAACTCGGATAACTTCAACAACAGAAACTCGGATAACTTTAACAACAGGAACTCGGATAGCTTCAACAACAGGAACTCGGATAGCTTCAACAACAGGAACTCCGATAGCTTCAACAACAGGAACTCGGATAACTTTGGCAGAAACTCCTTCAACAACTTTAACCGCAATAACAACTTTAACAACCAGGGTAATAACTTTAACAATCGAGACTATCAGAACGACGAATACTATGAAGAGAATGAAGAAAACTATGAGGAACAAGATGAGTATCAGGAAGAAAGCTACAACAATGAGGATTATAATGATTATAACAATTGGGAGGGTGAAGAACCTGTAAATAAAGCACCGGAAGATCCCAAAATCGTTGAACCTGAACCTGAACCTGAACCGATTATTGATGATGAACCTGTTTTTGAACCATCTGTTGTTATAGATTATGAACATAAATCTCTAAAGAAACCTGGTAAGTACCAAGATTGCACCCCTTTACACTCCAAATAACAGTTTCACTTTATTATAGTTGAAGACATCATTTTGGAACCCATACATATGTATGATTACAGACATAAACCTCTCAATAGAATCCCCTTACCACAAAGACCCCCATGGCTATCAAACACCGTCAAATTTATACACGAATTTGACCCCCTCGCTATTCCATACGAACGATCCTTTATGCCAAGGTATGATGTGCGTAGAGCACCACCAGAATCACAAAATAGACGTGGTAGTAACAGATATGAGAGACCTAACACCAGCAGAAATTATAACAATAGAAACAATAATGACAGGCAGAGTAATAACAAGTACTCAGATGAAAAAACACCTTCCAAAAAAGACTACAAAGGTCAAAACAACACGGTGGACTTTGAGGAGTTATCCGACGAAGACATGAATTGGGAGGAGGAAAAGCCCTCCTCAAATTTCAATGAAGAAAATATGTCCACTCAAAATCAAGAAACAACCGTTCAAATGTTCAAATCGAACGAGAGTAAAAATACTCCCAGAACAAACTTCAGCCAACAAACGGTGATCGAGGATTTGATTTGTAATCCAGGCAGATTCAGCAGGCCTCCCAAAATTGTAATCATTTTAAGGGGTCCTTCAGGGAGTGGAAAAACTTATTTAGCCAAGCTTATTAAGGACAAGGAGGTGAGTTTTTTTTGTGATATTTTTGTGGTCCAAGATATTTTAATGGGGTGGAGACTGAAATTTTCAGAATATACAGGGGAACAAAATTATGTTGTTTGAAGCTAGGGTTTTTATTTTAATCATTAATTTAGATATTTGCTTGTACACAGATAAGAGTGTTCAAAACACGTATGGTTACAATTTGATTGATTAAAATTAAGGGTTCGAAAAAATCATGATCTTTATTAAAAATTCAAAAAAAATCTTTTTTTTTAACACGTTCGCTGCGTTACGTGATCGATACGACCCCGTAACGCATTCGTCTGCCTTGCGGTATAAAATAAAGCATATCCTTAAAATGCGGAAGCAATAACTCAGTCAACTTTAAAGATATTTAAATGTTATTGGGACATATAGAATCCATACTTTATTGTTATAATGCGGGATATAAACGGCTCGTAACGCACTGGATAATAAATTTCTCACTGTGTGCGGTAAGGGGTTCATCATGACTTTCGACGATCTGCGCATAACCTAATAAATAAAAATAAACCAAAAAAGTGAAGGTTTTTTTTTAATTCTAATTTTATGTCATAAAATTATTTTTTTTTTTACAAAAAAATGATTTTTCGAAATAAATATAATTAAATTTAGTAAATTGACTACCTATAATAAATAGAATTTTAGACCAGGGTCGATAATTTTTGAAACCAAAAAAAAAATAACAGTAGGATGAAACCCTTTGGAAAAGGAGAAGAATATAATAAAAATGAAAGGAAAAATAAATTACGGGCGATCTGACTTCGGGAAGTGGGAGGGGGGGGTTTAAGGGTAAAAAATGGTTTATCTCGATTTCCGGCAAAACTACAAGTCCTATGGAAAAAAGTTAAATGTCAAAGTTGTAGGTAATAAAAAGATCTACAACTTTTGTATTTACAATTTTTTCACATAACCTCAAAATTTATGTGAAAAATTCAAAAAACCAAGTTTTTGGTTTTTTATTTTTATCTTTTTCAAAAAAACACCGACTTTTTGAAAAAAGCTCATATTTTGACGCGAGAATTTTCGATTGAAAATTAGGGTGCTTTTTTGATATTAAGTCAAAATAAGGCGAAATAATAAATATTTCAAATCAAATAAATTACAGTGTATTTGGGACATAAAAAGGTAAGTTTTCACCAAATTTCGTGGAAAAAAATTTTTTTTTGAAAAAGATAAAAATAAAAACCAAAAACTTGGTTTTTTGAATTTTTCACATAAATTTTGAGGTTATGTGAAAAAATTGTAAATACAAAAGTTGTAGATCTTTTTATTACCTACAACTTTGACATTTAACTTTTTTCCATAGGACTTGTAGTTTTGCCGGAAATCGAGATAAACCATTTTTTACCCTTAAACCCCCCCCCTCCCACTTCCCGAACTCAGATCGCCCTTTAATTTTTATTATATTCCCCTCCTTTTCCAATGGGTTTCATCCTACTGTTATTTTTTTTCTCTTTTTACCATTTTTAAAGGCTTCTGCACTGGTCTATTTGAAAAAAATGCTTTCAGAACAAGAAAAACACTTTATAATAAAATTTGAAGAAAAAAAGTTATGGAAAAGTTTTTTTTAATTCTTATTTTATGACATAAAATTAATATTTTTCACAAAAAAAAATTTTGCAAAAAAATCTAAATTTCTTTAAATACGGGACCATGGAGGCCCGTGCGGTCGCAGTGAATTATAACCAAGCCTCTAGATTACTTTGCCCACTTAATTCCTTACTACTTTAAGCATGTCCAAAGTTACGAATAAAATTGCAACACCGTGCATACACATACACATACCCCGTAACGCACTCTGTGCAAAACTAATATGGGGCAGTTCTGACCCGTAACGCACCCAGAAATATACTTTAAAAATAACTCCCGCAGCTTTTTTTAATAAAGCGTACTATTAAGTAAAATACTAAAAATAACTTGACTATAATAATATTATATTGGCCCTACTTTATAAACATATAAACCACCGTCCGGAACTGTCATATATTTTTTGTATATTCCTTTATTATTTTATTTAACAAATTAGGCAGTTTTTCTATGCATATGAATTTATTTAAATATTCCTTAGGACAAAAATTAAAATGTTATGGAGTGATCTAAAATTTAGGGTTTGAAAAAATCATGATTTAAAAAAAATCAACAAAAAATATTTTTTTAAATTTTTTTAATTATAAGGTAATTTAATAACTAACTGTACCATTAAAAAAAATACTAATAATAACTTGACTATAATAATATACAGGGTGGTCCAGGATTAATCTGAAAAATTTTAATGATCGATAGAGCCTGAAAAAACAATAAAAACAAACCCAAAAACATTTTTTTTAAATACACACTAACACACTAATAGCCCTTCAAAGGCAAAAAAACGTTTTTTTTAATAACTTCTGCTCAAATTTTGTGTACCTAGGTAAAATTTCTTACAAAATGCCAAGCGGCGGATATTTTGTGGGGGTTTCCTCTTTTTACCCCCATATTTCGACACCACTGGATTTTATTGGAAAATCATCAGATTTCTTATTCAGTTTAGAAGCAAAACTTGTGTGTTAAATTTTCATAAGATCAGTGGTTTCGGAGACTTTAACATTTCAAAAACACCGAGTACACAGAATTTTATCATATTTTATTTTAAATCAGTAACTTGGTAACAATTATGCCACGTTAACAGTTTATAAAATATTATAAAAATAAACTAGCGTCCAGGAGTCATCGTGCAGTTGTTACTGATCCCGTCATATTTTTAGGTTGTTATAACGTTGATTGAGGATTACAATCAACGTCTGTAATTAATAATTTAATTGTATTATAATACAAAATCAAACCAACCCAAAAACCACCCTATTGAAAGTGATTATTCCATAATTTCATTGGTAAATTTTTATTGGCCCAATACAATCGTTCAGAAAAAAAAAATAATTTTTTATTACTAAAATAATAACAAAAGTTCCGTGTACACAGTGTTTTTGAAATTTTAAACTGAAATATCTCCGTTGATCTGATAAAAAATAAACATAAAAGTTTTGCTTTTAGATTGAAAAAGGATAAAAATAAATCTGAAGATTTTCTAATAAAATCCAGTGGCGTCGAAAATATGAGGGTAAAAAGGGGAAACCCCTCCCAAAATCTCCGCCTCCGGGCCTTTTGTTCATTATATTATCGACGGAAGCTTAACCTACACAAAATTTGAGAAGAATCGGTTTAATGGTTTAAAAATTATTTTGAAGGACTATATCTCCGTTAGTATACATTTTTGAAAAATGTTTTTGGGTTTGTTTTTATTGTTTTTTCAGGCTCTATCGATCATTAAAATTTTTCAGATTAATCCTGGACCACCCTGTATTGGTACTACTTTATAAACAAATAAACCACCGTCCGCAACTGTTATATTTTTAGTATTTTCCTTTATTATTTTATTTAACAAAATAAGAAGTTTTTCTATGCATATGAATTTATTTAATTAATGTCAAGATATTGTGTTTTTAAAACTGATTTAAATCATTGATTAAAATAAAAAAAATTACTTGATTTAAATCGTTGATTTAAATCAAACGATTTAAATCAGGCAAACCCTGATTTTGGTAAAATTTTAGTAAAATTTAAGGACTTTTTAATAATTTTTAAATATTGTAGGTATTACTTTAACGTATTTTTTAGAACAAAAACTAAAGGGTTTAAAATTTACATAAAACTATAATTTTATATACAGGTTGGGTCAAAAATAAAATATTTTCACGATTTTGATGTATTTAAGATATTTTTATGATTTTGAGGTAATTTAGATTTGTTTTGTGATGCTTAGTAGAAAGGAATTGAACACAAAGTATGTAAACTTAAATCTTTATTCAGTTAATGGCTGAATAATACAATGACTTAAATGGTAGCTTAATATTATTTTACAATATGCCTTTCTAGAGTAGCTGCAGTAGCCGTACTGACTATATTAAAAAGAGATCATCCCTTGGTAAGCCCTTGAGGAAGGAGCTTTAAGCAGCGCATGACGCTTGAGGCGCTTAAGGCACTTACATTAAGAATTTACAAACATGCATTTTTAATAATTTTTAAATATTGTAGGTATTTGTTAAAATATTTTTTAGAACAAAAACTAAAATGTGTAAAATTTACATAAAAACGATAATTTTATATACAGGTTGGGTCAAAAATAAAATATTTTTATGATTTAGATTTAATAAGATACTTTTATTATTTTGAGTTAATTTAGATATTTTTAAAGATATTTTTATATGGCAAAATGTTTAGAATATTTAGAGAAACATTACTGTGTAAAAATATATATACAGGGTGTTCAAAACTAGTTGTTTTCTATGGCAGGTCGAAAATGGTGGTTCAGCACCGCGAATCTTATCTTTGGATGATTATTTCATGGTAGAGCAAGAAAAAGAGGTTATTGAAGAAGGTAAAGTTATAAAAGTAAAAGAAATGGTGTACGAGTACGAAAAAGAAATGGAAAATACGTACCGTACATCCCTTACAAAGTCCTTTAAGAAAACCATAACAGATGGATATTTTCCATTTATCATCGTGGATAATGTCAATGAAAAAGTAAAATATTTCGGGGAAATGTGGAGTTTTGCCAAACAAAATGGCTTCCAGGTGTGTAATCCCTTTTCCTCTAACAATCCTCTTTCTATAGCATTTGTCCCTAAGGTTTATATTTGTCAATTGGATCTGGATCCGCAACTGTGCGCGACCAGAAACATCCACGGACGTAGCGAGAGGGAAATAGAAGATTGCGTGGCGGCATGGGAGCCCACCCCAGCTCACCACCCCTCGGTGGACGCCTCTGGATTTATGCAAGCCACTGGCGGGATACAGGAGGTTGAAATGGAAGAGGTTTCCATGGAGGAAGCGCCTCTTGCATCCAAGCCAAACGACGACGAGGTAGAGGTAAGGTTTCTTCTTTGTAGGTTGTTTTAGTACATATAATTGATTTTTTGTCGGTAAATATTTAATTCTATAATCTTTACAGGTTATTATTGTGTTTTTTCTATGTATAGGTACTAATCTTTTCTTTCACAGCGCTAGTAATAAAAGCCAATGTTAACAGTATTTGTTTTTTTTTTATAATTTTTGTCATGTACTAAAAATTTAGTATCCCTCAGGACCATGTTAGAAGTAAATGGGATAACTTCGACTGTACTAGTAACAATCTTGGTAAGTTTTTTTCATATTTTAGATTTAAGATTGTTTTTAACACTTTCATTTATTTTCCCTTTGGTAAAAACTGCAATATTTATATATGATGTGCAGAATAGTCTTGTTTTTGATCATTTACCATATGACCATATTAAATCTAAAGAATATTTGTTGTGAATTTTCTTATAAATGTTTCTTTGTATTGTTGCATATTTTCTTTTAGGAAAGTGCATTTTTTGCACTTTTTAACATTCTAAACAATATTGTTACTGAAAATATTAGTTTTTTCCTGTACAAATTCAAAAATATTTTAGAATTAAAAATTTACCCACATTCTCGCGTTCTTTGTTATAAAAGATTGTACTTTTATGCAAATATGCTTATTAAAAAATGGCATTTAACCATTTTACTTAAAATTATCGAAACGCCCTTTAAAAGCTGTACCCTATAAAATATAGTTTATTTTCTGCCTTAATCATTCTTTTTTTTGTAATTTTCGTGAATTTTTTTGGCTTTAAATTGGATTAGGCCTTAAAACTATTTTGCCTTAAAGTCAGATTTGAAGAATGTTTAAGTCAGGAAATAGCTTATGTGTTTTTGGTTTCTAAATTTGTGAATTTTTGTGTGTTATAGCAAAACTCGATGGCGTCAGCAAGGGGCTCCGCTCCTCCCGCACAATGGAGGAATACCTTCAGCTCGAGGGAGAATCGTGGTCACCGCCGAGGTCACAGAGGCCGGGGAAGAAGAGGGTAAGTCAAAAAAAGTCTATTTTCTGAACTGCTATTTCTATTATTCTTTCTTAGGTTCGTTGGGCGGACATAGAAGAGCAGAAACAGCGCGCCAAGATGCGCAAAATCGGTTTCGTTGTGGGACAAACCAGCTGGGGCTCAATGATGGACACTACAAGTAGTGAAAGTGCTCTAACTCAAACGAAATACATTGAAAGAGTTAAAAAGTATTAAATACTTAGTTTTTTTCAGTTTTCTCCCATACAAAAATATATATTATTAGCTAAGGTAAAAATTTTGTGCATTTACTATGTTTTATTTTGAAAGTAGCTATTTACTTTTTTTAATAATTGTAGAATGTAAATAAATTGAACTTTCACCAACAAACTGATTTTTATTTTTAAATTTCTTAAAATTGAAAACGGATAAGTATGCAATTAATGTAATGGTGGTTGCCTATACAAAATAGAGTTTTAAGGTAACCAACTATAAAGGTGCCCATCCACGCGAAATTTTTAATCTAGTTTACTGCCGGCCACAGTCTTTTATAAGACCGTGCTTCAGGCAAAATCAAAATGTCAGTATAAAGTTTATACTATAAACATACATATAAACTTATTAAATATTGCCGTTGAGAAACTAAACTGCGCACCACTCAATGTGTCGCGACCAAAAAGTTCGTTCTTTTTCAAAACGACATAACTTTTTTGTTTTTTGAATTATTTTATTTTGGTTTGTGATGTCTGCTGGCCTCATCCTCTGGCAATTTATGCTATAGATATGAAGCTCACGGTTGGTCAAGTAAATTTCCTACAGGGTGATATGTTAAACGGTGAAAAATTTCAATAACTTTATCCAAGCCCCGTTTGTAAAAAAATAATTTTTTTTTCGGTTACCTTGAAACGCTTTTCAAATTTTTCGAATTGGAATCTTAGCAACGAAAATATGATTATTTTTTCAAAAGAGTACATTTAAGGCTTTTTTTTAGGCAATACACTCAGTCTTTTTAGGAACAAAAAGATTAGATGGTGAAAAATTGTTCCTTAAATAATTCTGAACAAGCGACAAGTAACAAACTTCCATTATTTTTAGAGGGCCTAAGCTAAGACCACTTTTTGAAAATGACATTTTTGTGAAAGTTTGCAAAAACTAAACCTAAACCGATATTTACTTTCGTAATATGTTTTCTTAATAATTTTGACCTCCTGATTGTAATTTAGTTGTCAAATTTAAGTTTCAGATAAAACCAAAATCACTAAGAATCAAGATTCGAAAACAATTCCCGGCTGTTAAATGTGTCAATAAAATCCGATTACTGGTTTTTACTGTTTTTTTACATATCGTAAATGAGTATTTAAGGGACCACCATATTGAGAAAATGAATTGGCCACCTTTGTCTCCGGATATGAATCCTATTGAGCATGTGTGGAGCAGGATAAAATTGAAGATGAAAGAGGGAAGGAGGCATGGAAAATTTGGATGAATTGGTAAATGCTATTCAGGAAGAATGGGGTACCCCAGAAATTTCTAAGGAACTTGGTCGAGGGAACGAATCAGAGACTCTGGAACGAATTATTACGGCTTAGGGGAGGGCCAACAAAATATTGAAAGGTATTATTGTTATTGTTTGTTACATTTTTCTGTTGAATGTTGAAGTTTTGATTATGATTATATCCAAGCATACAATTTTCAAAAATGAACAAATCAGGAGGTCAACATTATAAAGAAAACATGTCACAAACGTAAATATCGGTTCAGGTTTAGTTTTCGCAAATTTTCACCAAAATGTCATTTTGAAAAAGTGGTCTTTGCTTAGGCCCCTCTGAAAATAATGGAAGTTTGTTGCTTGTCGCTTGTTCAGAATTATTCAAGGAACAATCTTTTACCATCTTATTTTGTTGTTCTTAAAAAGACTGAGTATATTGCCTACCAAAAAGCCCTAAATGTACTCTTTTGGAAAAATAAATCACATTTTTGTTGCTAAGATTCCAATTCGAAAAATTTGAAAAACGTTTTAAGGTAACACATAATACTTCATTATTTCAAAGTAAAAACGAAAAAAAAAATTATTGTTTTACAAACGGGGCTTGGATGAAGTTATTGAAATTTTTCACCGTTTTACATATCACCCTGTAGGAAATTTACTTGAAGAACCGTGTGCTTAATATCTATATCATGAATTGTCAGAGGATGGGGTTAGCAGACATCACAGACCAAAATAAAATCGTTCAAGAAACAAAAAAGATGTGTCGTTTTGAAAAAGGACGAAATTTTTGGTCGCGACACATTGAGTGGTGCGCAGTTTATTTAATACTATTTAATACTTTTGTATTTGTGTATTAAGATATCTTATATTATTCAGACCGTGACTAAAGCGCCATGAATCCATAGCTTGTCAATGTGTAGTACACATTGTGTATTTAAATGATCCCTTAGTGTCATGGAAACATGTACGATAATGGGCGTTTTAAAGGTGGGAGTAGAAATAATCAGTTAAAGTTTTTTACCTCACTTAAAATGAAAAAAATCCGTTTGAAGCAATAAAAAATTTTTATTACTGTCATTTCTAAATAAAAATAAACTATTGGATTACTACAAAAGGCATAGTCTTCCAACCCATTTACAATAAATATTCATTTACAACACATTTATAATATTTAAAATATACCATAATAGCAGAATATCAGTAACTGATATTCTGCTATTCTTCCGCCCATAGCTTTAGTGCGTCATATAGTGGCCTATCAGGGTATTTTCTCTCACCAGTCTTGTTAGGATGGGTTGGACTTTAGTGATGTGGTAAAGGGATTCACGTCCAAAAATGTTGCAATGTTTTAAACTTTTTGGTTTTTTTTAATTTAAATATTTTTAGTTTATGTAGTTTGCCTATGTTTTATATATGTATACTTTTATTTTATTTTTTTTGTTTTTATTAGTCTCAAACAATTTATATGGTGTTGGTGCGGCAGTATATACCATCCCTTAATTACGAAGCTAAAGTAAAACTAAGCAAATTCTTTTCCATCTATTCTGCAGAAGCGGTGGAAATTTGGGAAGCCTTATTATACATACAAAGACACCAGCAGGGCCGTTATATTTTCTGATTCATTGAGCGGTCTAATGAGTCTTCAAAAAAACATTTTGGATATTAATACTTCAAATCCATTGCACCAGCACATCGTCACCCTAATATAACAAGGTTGTATGTTAAAAAAAACGAAAAATTTAAGTCTATGTTTCTACAGAATTATACGTACGTGGCCTACGCTTTGCATACCACTTATAAATAATTCTATAGAATGTAAATTCTATGTATGAGACATTCTTTTACATATCGTACGGATTACAGAAAACATATTTTTTCAAATTTTTAAAATGACTTAATTTTTTTTTACAGCATCTTTTCATAAATTTAGCCGACCCCTATATCGGAATTTTTGCAGAAAATTTATTTTTCCAAAGATATATTGATTTAAACTTTTGATTAAATTTGAAAAAATGCTGAATTCTTTTGTACTTAAAATTCATTATCTCCGGTTCTACTGATCGGATCGATTTCATTTTTTTTTATTTTAAACCATATTACATAGTCTTTTTAGATAAATATTTAAAAAGTTTGTGTTTTGTTTATTATATGAAAAAAAAAATATTTTTTTTTGTATAAACCCCCTCTATGAAAAAAAATGAAAAAAATACTGTTCTATGCACTATTTATTACTCTACAAAATGAATTTTTCAGAAAAATGGAGACTTTTTTGGATCGGAAGATATTAAATATTTTCGAGCGCGTGACCGGTACAAGCCGTAAGGGGGCATCCATTAATTACGTGAGGCGTTTAGGGGTGGGAGGGGGTCAAGCCAAATCTCATCAATTCTCACATAAGGGAGAGAGGGGGTCTCGGCAAATATCACGTAATTTTTAACAATTATGTTTTTTTAATAAATCCAACAGAATCAAGCAGTTTAACGTATAAACATTAAAAATAAGCATTTTTTAAAATCTCACGTGAGATTAGGGGGAGGGGGTTGAGCCAAATCTCACGACATCTCAGCAAGGGGGGAGGGGGTCAAAAAATCGCTAAAATTGACTCACGTAATTAATGGACACCCCCTAATCAGACATCTTCGAAACGCTAACACATTTAGGATAGTAGTCCAGTCATCTTAGCATTTCACCTCGGAATCTAACGGAATAAGCTGAATTTTTGTACAAACCTTTATTTTAGCATTGCAAATGTTGTCTCAAAAGTTACATATGAAAACGTGTGAGCGGCCTTAGATATTCAAGGTCAAAGGTCGCAAAAATCAAATTCTTGAGAATATCTCCTTTTCTCTGCCTCCTATCGTATTTGCATTTATTATAAAAGTTGTAGAGAATAAAATTCTCTAGAAATTTTGTTTAAATAATTTTTTTATACGTCTAATCGTTTTTGAGATAGAGGGCGCAGAGTGTGGAGCGCTCAGCCATACGTACCTTTAGCGCAAGGTAAATCATGAATCCCAATCTATTATACCGTTTTCTAAATAATTATTTATTAAATATTATTTAAATAACAATTTAAAACCTTATATTTATTTTTATATATTTTTTTAAAACAGATAGTCATTAAATATTACTTACTTTTGACATACAAATAATTAAATAATGAAGTGAATCATTCTAAATATATTCTAATGTTATTCTAATTAATGATAAATGCATTTTAAGAAGAAAAGACATTAAATGAATTTGCCTTGAATATGTCTCTGGTCATCTCTTGGATCCAGATATTGCTTTTAAAATAACAGACCTGGAAATACTATAGCGGGCTTGCTATAAATAAAAAGGTTAGGTATACCTATATTTAAAGCAAGTTGTGACCCTAGGTATAGGTCTAGGGTTGTGACAGATAATATTCGTAATATTTTAAAGGTTAACATGGCTGATTTGTGTTTTATTTGTAATAAGTTACTTTCTGAAGGTGATTCTGTGACTTTTGTGCGCGGTATAAAGACTTTAAAAGAAGCAATTATTGAGAGAAATAAACATAAACTACCTAAATACTTTGACTTCTGTGAACCTTCATATTGAGTGTCGAAAATTGTACGCTATAGCGTACTATAGTAAAATTGCAGCAGCAAAACGTCGCCTTGAAGAGACTGAACCTTCAACGTCATCAACTGTACCTCGTAAAAAAGGGAATTATGTGTTTGATTTTAAAATATTTTGCTTATTTTGTGGTGAAGTCGCAGATGAGGCAACAAAGGCAAAAAAATCTGCAAAGTACAAACGCGTTATAAGTAAGTTTTTGAAGATATGACAATTAATGTCAATGATAACGAGGATGAGGATGAAGAAGATAAAGATTATTAATAATAATAATAATAATAATAATTATAATATTGAT